CAAAGTATTCACACTTCACATACAGCCTGACATAGTGGCAGCTATTCCCATAACCTTCTTTTTCTAGCTTGATACACAGTCCAGCCAAGTAACAGCGTTATGATAACGGTACTTTTATTTTCAATTCCTTTTCTAATGATGCCTAACATGGAATCCACCCTTTTAGAGCAACTTGCACACTGATCCAACATATTCATTGAGCTATCCACCACAAACCCAGTATCTCTTTCTGTCACTGCCGGTTCACAACTCATTTTGTGACATAGCTGAGGGTCACCTCAACCCTGGTAATAATGATGCAGTGCCCAATTTCTGTTACTTCCACTTAAAGGTGTGGATGAGTGAAACAATCAGTCTTGCAATGTTACATTTTTACAATGTTAGGTTCAGTTCTCCACATTTCCACATCAGTTTGCAATTTATTTATTTTCAAAAAGTCTTCATGAAACCAGTGCTGATTTCTTCTCCTAATACACACGCTTTTGCATGTAATTCTACCTAAAAGACATATTTTTGCAAAGCAAATTTCCCTCATACAATGCAATATACAGTGTATATTATGTTCATTAACATAAGCATTTTAATGCACACTTTATCCTAGTATATGCATTTTCAAACACATAACTTTGTTGGACAACTGCACTGCAAAATTTGGAAACCTTTTTGAATTTTCAAGGATGGCTGTGCTTCAGTTCACATTTTGCTTCAGAAAGTGTGAGTTAGGTAAGTTCACATTTAAATGTGAACTGAATTTCTGCGCCATCCCTACTGAAAGAGAACCCTCAAAGATTTCAACAGTCCTCATTTCCCAGCAAGTACGTTGGGAACTTAGAAGTGCAAGTGTTGCCTATGGCACAGCACAGTATATTTTATTATTATCCAGAATGACCTGAAATACCTTCAGGAGTGAAGAAGGGTGTTGCTGAAAGCCTTTACAAGGAGCTATGTGATGATAAGAGACTTATCATATGGCCTTATCGTGCAGCCTCTGGATTGCTTTCATGTTGTATCTATCTCCTCAACCTTTGTGCAACTTTGAAACCCCACCGGTGCAAGCCGCCTCGCTGTACTTTGTCACTTGCACCCATTTCCTGATCAGTCACACCTGGAATGCGCCCCACATGATCGCCTGTTGTGCCACAAGAGAGACGGCATGTCTAGCGACACCTCCTTCAACTTTCGGCACATGAAAGGATTCAAAAGCAACTTTCAATATTGTCTCAAGTGTTACAAGTGTACAGCTAGCTGTGAATTCTCAGGAACAAAGGAGGTTCTCAGACAACCCCAATTTGGATTGATCTCTGTCCTCAAAAAGCAGGGGTGGGGAACCTGTGACCCCCTGGGGGTTGTTGGACTCCCAGCTCCCATCAGCCCCAACCAGCATGGTCAAAGGGCACTCTACAGTTCCCAGGATTCTTGGAGGGAAAGCCATGATTGTTTAAAGCGGTATGAGGCTGTTTTAAATAGCGTATATTGCATACATGGGGACTTACTCTCAAATACAGTGGTACCTCTGGTTACGAACACTTCTGGTTACGAACGCTTCTGGTTACGAGCTCCGCTAACCCGGAAGTAGCTGCTCCTGGTTGCGAACTTTGCCCCAGGATGCGAACGGAAATCACACGCCAGATGCCGCGTGCAACGGGAGGCCCCATTAGTGAAAGCGTGCCTCAGGATAAGAACAGTTTCAGCTTAAGAACAGACCTCTGGAATGAATAAAGTTCGTAACCAGAAGTACCACTGTAAGGGCATAAAATTACTGCCTAGGTCAACCAAGGCCACTAGATGGCATTTGAAAACTAGCTTTTTCATTATCCATTTCTATTAGTGAGTACAGTGGTACCTTGGGTTACATACGCTTCAGGTTACATACGCTTCAGGTTACAGACTCCGCTAACCCAGAAATAGTGCTTCAGGTTAAGAACTTTGCTTCAGGATGAGAACAGAAATCGTACTCCGGCAGCACAGCAGCAGGAGGCCCCATTAGCTAAAGTGGTGCTTCAGGTTAAGAACAGTTTCAGGTTAAGTACGGACCTCCGAAAGTACTTACCGAGGTACCACTGTACTTGCTGTATACCTCCAGTATACAGAAGTCACCTATATAGCAGAGACAGTGACTGACTGTCTGGAGCCTAGGGGAACAAGGGTTAAAAGAGCATGGTAGGAAAGGACATGGGGCAGTAGCACAGCATGTGCTTTACACCCAGAAGACCCCAGCTTCAATCCCCAACATCTCCAGGTAGAGATAAGAAAGGTCCCTGCCTGATACTCAGGAGAGCCACTGCCAGTCAGCACGGAGTCCAGCCTTTCTCTAACTTGGGTCCCCAGTTGTGGTTGGACTACAACTCCCACCATCCCTAGCTAGCACGATCAGTGATCAGAGATGATGGGAGTTGTAGGCCAGCAATATCTGGGAACACAAGGTTAAGAAGGGCTGTGAGACCACGCTGAGCAAGATGGACCAATGGACTGAATCAGTATAAGGCATCTTTTCATGTTCATAAAATGTAACAGCCATTGTGATGGGAGGTGGGGGAGACAGAGCTGAGGTTTTCTAACTCGGGAGCCCTGCAGTTCTTCAGAACTTTAATTAAGAGGGTTCTTTATGAGATGAACATTAATGTCAGAAATATAAACTACAGCTGCTTACATATTTAAAGCACATACCCCTCCCAAAGAATACTAGGAAATGTAGTTTACTGTGAGAACTACAATATCCAGCCCCCTTAACAAACTTCCCAGGATTCTTTGGTGGAATGTGTTTAATGTCTGATGTGGGCACAGCCTGAAAGTCTGCCTGCAGTTTTGTGCCTCCCCATCTCCCTTTAGGGAAATGTTAAGCAGGTACTATTGCGTTTCCTGTTTCCACAGCTTGCCAGGTAGACCCAGCAGGTCTATTTATTCTTCCTGATTTGCTTGCAATTGCTTCTGCATCTTCCTGTTAGTTATTTGTTCATATTACACCTTTCAATGCATTTTCTTGCCTGTTTCCAAAAGGCAAAAAGTCAGATTATTTGTTAAAGTGAATTTGTTGTGCTAGAGCAGCAGAACACTTTAATCCACTTCAATTGCACAAACCTAAATTTATCGTATATGCCTGAATCCCTCCCTTATTTCTCATTTATTCTGATGAAGAGAAGGCAGCTTCGGAATTATATCACAGCATCAACATTATAGATCAGCAGGAAAATGAGTGAGGGTAGATTACAATTAGGTTGAACCTTTTTTATTTTATTGTGCAAAGTCAGATTTATAATACATCAGGTACAACTTTGAAGAGGATAGATTGGAACAAAAATATATGTACCATGAAGGGCAATGGAGTTCAGTCAAGAGCAACAAAGCAACCCATAGTTTCAGTCAAGCAAAACTTCCTTTTGCTTTTTATAGGCCTCACTGCTATAAGAATACCTAAGAGCACAACTATTAAACGTCTATGATTATAAAAAATATTGCCCCTGGTGTCTTGTTAATTCTAATCAGAAAAACTGCAAGACTTTTCATTGCAATTTCCCAAGTTTTCCTGCTACTTTATCTTTGGACTATGACAGTCAACTGACCAGGAGACATTAATCCTTTTGTCCTAGTGTGGCACAACTTTGTGCCAGTGCAGTGTCTGCTATGCCTGTTCAGCTGCTCATTGGCAAGTCCCTTCTTCCACATCTGAATCTGCCTGCATTCATCATTCCTTCTATTTCTGATGTTGAGACATTTTGGAGGGATGGAAGGATCTGTCAGTTTTGGTTCTTTAAGCTTCTCATTTTTCCAATCTTAAATTCAGTTATCCACCTTTTGCAGTAATTTGCAATTTTAAAAAGAATCCTCCTTAAAATTCATCAGCATCTTAGTGTGAATGTCTCCTAAAAACACACACTTTTTATATGCAGTTTTGACCAGCATATACATTTTGTCAAGCAATTTCCCTAATATAATACATTTTTGTATGTTATTTTCACTGATATCATCATATTCATTCATACTTTCCTCTAATAAATGCATTTTTATTGGTTGGAGAACTGCATCACAACATCTGGAAAAGTGTGAATATCAAAAGATAGCTGTGCTTCAGTTTGCATATTGTTTAGGAAAGTGCAAATTTATAGATTCAGCTTTAAATGTACACTGAATTAAATTTCTCCTCCATCCCTAGCCGTAGGTGTTGCTGCTTGTTGGGTGGAGGAAAACACAAAGAAATCCCAATGAGGACTGAGCATGCTGAGTGGGCACAGAATGCTGACTTACTGTTGGAAGTGGAATGGACCAGAAAACTGGGTGGGAGGGGAAGTGGAATGGAGCGTTGTGGAGGAGGGCATGGCTGGCTGGCTGGCTGACAGGTGCAGTGAACAGGAGAGCTCCGCAATGTAACATTTTGTTCCAGCCAGGCCCTTTACTTATACTATGAATAAAAGAACGTTCAGTAGAATTACAATGATCTGAAACACCTAGTCACCTAAATTCAGCGAGTAACTCATCTATTGCCCCTTATCAGAACAGCCAGATTTATATGCTTTATATGAACAGTTTCTTCCAGTTCAAATTCGTTGGCTTCTCCCAGAATCTAGTGTTTGCAAAAGTTTAAGTGGAATGCTTTAAGTAGCTTTATAGGGAGCAGAACCCCATTCTGTAAATGCCCAAAGCACATTTTGCTTTCTGAGACCTCAGCTGTGCCCTCAATACACTGTTCTCTGCTACTTTGAAGGCTAGAAACTTATTTTGTAGTTGTGTCCATCAAACAGATGCAATAAGATGATTCTTACAGTAAGGACCATGCCCACCCCCTGTCTTCCAAAGCCTAATTACAGTTGTACCTCGGGTTACATACGCTTCAGGTTACAGACTATGCTAACCCAGAAATAGTGCTTCAGGTTAAGAACTTTGCTTCAGGATAAGAACAGAAATCGGGCTCCAGCGGCGTGGCGGCAGCAGGAGGCCCCATTAGCTAAAGTGGTGCTTCAGGTTAAGAACAGTTTCAGGTTAAGAACAGACCTCCAGAACGAATTAAGTACTTAACCCGAGGTACCACTATATTAATTTAAGGGTTTATATCCCACCCTTCGGGGGGGAATGTTCCCAGGACACCTTACACAACACCCCCACCATTTTTCTCATTGGAAGATAATGACCTAACTGCAAAATAAGGACTGTCCTAGGTATTATTTTGAAAAATAGTAACAGAAAGCAATTTTCAGTACTTAGAAAGGGAGCCCAGATTAGCACGGGCATGGTACGTTATATTTTCATTTAATACACGCTAAGATCCAATACTTTGGATGTCCACTGAGATGGTTTTCTAAGCTGTGGGTCTATTATCCATTTTCTTCTGTTTGCCAATATTGAAGCCCTTTGGATGTTTTGAGGTTCAGTTGTTATTCCTCCTACATGCACGCACACCTCCTTAAGCCTTGAATGAAGCACGAACCACTCTTCCCTTAAGAGGCTGAGCGGGACGGAAGTTATTCACCATCTGGATTCTTTCATCTTCTTCTGTGGTGAAGAGGAGGGTACGGAATTTCTCCATCTGTAAATTCAGAGGACTTGATATTACTTGCTTAGGAAAATCAGTTGCGCCAGAGCTCACGAAGAAAGGAAAACGCAAATGGATTTAGGATGGCAATTTACATGTTGCCCAAAAAGTGGACCAAAGAGGACGCAGATTTGCATGATATTTGCATATCCTAATTGATAGCTGCAAATATAGAAATAAATAAATTAACACAGAAATGCAATCTATCTCACTGTAGAGGGAGACTGTGACCAGGTGACATGACAGTCTGCTGTCCAGGTGCTAATGACTAATGGGAAACTTCAAAGCTGCTTCTCCCCCTTCTTGGGTCCCCCCCCCTATATGCTCCTAAATAAAATAGCATTTTTGTGTGTGTGGTGTCCAGGATTTTAAGAGCAGACAGCATGGGCACTTTTGTGCAAAAAAGGACAGCCCCTCACCCTCTGCTACCCATGATTTACCTGTTTATCGGATATTTTGATGGTCTCCTTTAGCACTATCCAGGTCACACTCTCATTAAGAGGAGGTGTTGTCAAGGATCCAGGATATGTCCAGTAATCGAGACAAGAGGGCAGGAGGCTGCTTGGGTCAAAGGACTTGAACTGGGCTTTGGTTCCCTGAGAGAAGCATGGACATGGATTAGAAAATTAAAAGTAGAAATTAAAGGTACAAACGAAATTGTTTTTACAAAACCTTCTGGAAGCTGCAAAAGCAAAGCAAAGCTATTGCTCTTGTCCAATAGCTGATCAAATATTGGATTTAGCTAAAAAGGAGAAGGGAACTGAAAAAAATACACGACGTGTCATCATGGTGTAGTGGTTAACATGTAAGACTAGGACTTCGCAAAATTCCAGGTGGGGAGATATTTATGGGAAGCATTGCATCATATTAATTTCACCGGTCATTTAATTACATCAGTGTTGATCAAGATTTCTTTTGGGGGGAAGGAGATTTGTTGCACAAGCTGAATTTGTTGGTGTATGGTTGAATCCCACCCAAAAACAGTGACAGTCTGAAGTACCCTAGTGCAATGGGTATGGGAGAGGTGTAATGGGATGGTGATAAGGATATCCTGCCTTTTCCACAGACTGGGACTCAAGGTGCCTTACACAAATTGTAACCACATAGATAAAATACAAAATGCTAAAAACAAAATGTAATAGTCTAAAAGCAATTAAACAATAATAGAATTAAAACAAATCTATTAAAATACAGATAGTACAAGCAGTACAACACTATTAAAAGGCCTTTCCTTAAAACCAGTCAGTTCGCCAAAGCCTGTTAGAATAAAAGAGACTTCACCTGCTGGCAGAAGGAAGATGAGGAGGGAGCAAATCTGGCCTCCTTAGGAAGGGAGTTCCAAAATCTGGGAGCAGCCACTGAGAAGGATCTCTCCTGTGTGCCCCACCAACCCAATCCCACTGGCATCATGGCTGCCACATTCTAGACCAATTGGAGTTTCTGAACAGTCTTCCATGACACAAAACGAACTTTGCACTTGTATTTTAAACTTACTTTAAATTTGACCATGTACAAGGCATCTGTCAATCTGTTCATACTGGCATGTTCTTCTCCAATCTAAGAGTTTAAAACAAGAGAGATGCCTAAGAATGTGGGTTTGCAAAAAAAAGGAAGAGTTTCAACAAACCAGGAGCTGCCATTCTCTATCACCGCTTTGTTTTTCAGCGTTTTATTTCCCCCTCAAACACTGAAACAAGTGCCTGGAAAATGCTACCAGAAAAGGGGAAGAGTCTTTTGAGGTTCCCGGATGTCTTGGACAACTCTACTCTTTCTCCTTTTCTGTCCTTCCTGCCTTCCAAAACACCTGCCCCTCTCTTCCTTCCCTCAAATCCTTCCTCAAAGCCTCTTTTTTCTGTGGTACGACCTCTAGACTTAGATCATGGATGGACAACCTTTTTTTTTCTTTTGGGGACTGCATCTTCTCTGGGGTTGCCTGCCAGCAGTGGGTGGGGCCACTTCCTTCCTTCCTCTCTTCCTAGGCTGCTGGGGGAAGGACAGGTCAGAGTTGCCAGAGCTCTGAACAGATACTGTAGCTACTGTATAGAAATTAAGCCAAGGGCCACATTACATCCCTGCCTTAAACCTCATCCCTTGCTGAAACTTAGGCTGTGTACACACCATACATTTGAACCACATGAGCTCCCTGAAATAATCCTGGGAACTGTAGTTTACTCCTACAGACCTACAATTCCCAGGCTTCTTTCAGGGAAGCCATGCACTTTAAATGTGCATTAAAAGTATGGTACAGTGTTTACGCAGCCAGAGCCTCTAACTGTGTGCAATTTAGCTGAATGAATCTCATTCTCACCACCCTCTCTACCAGTGGTGGCGAACCTTAGAGACCGAGTGCCCAAACTGCAAACCAAAACCCACTTATTTATCACAAAGTGCCCAAAGTTGTTGAGCTTTTTTGGGAGAGACAGAACAGAAAAATCGCCACAGTTCTTGCCATCTCCCTCCCTCTTCCCCTCTCCCGCTGGGCGCACTCCCTGACTAGCTGGGAACTACCATGCAGCACTGAAAAAAGTGCAGGAAAAAAATCACGAGGGTCAAATAATGAACACTGTTACACCCAATCAGAAACAGCCACTGCCGTAGCCAATTGAAAAACAGATCAATCACGGAATACAATTGCTGGTTTAAGCAGTGGATGCATGCAGTAGTGTGGGAAGGAGTGCGAGCACAAATGGAAAAAACAACAGGGCCAATGGCGCATGTGCCAGGAGTGAGGGCTCCGTGTTCCCACTCTGGCACACATGCCATAGGTTCGCCGCTGCTCTATACTCTCCCTTGTGTTGAATTTTAGACTAAGCTCCTCATGGCAAAGTCTGGTCTTCTTATACTGTGTCATGCACGTTGGTGGTGCCACACACATAATAAAAAGTTTAAAATACACACACTAAAGGAAATAAAAACCTTCATGGGAGGTTTTTAAAGAGATGTTGGGTGGTCATCAATCAGGGATTCTTCAGCTGTGATTCCTGCACTGCAGGTGGGTGAACAAGATGATCTTAGCGGCCCCTTCCAACCTTACACTTCTATATTTCTAAGTGCAACAACTTTTGCAGCTCTTACCTCTAAGAAAACACCAATCACTGCTAAGCCATCTGGAGCCGCCGCTGCCTCTTCAAAGGTCACATATTTCTTGGCATTCCAGTGAACTAAATGGAGCTGGGGAGACAAGTCAAACATCAGTATTCAGGGGCAACACACCCCGTTCCGTCACTTGAGGCAAAACAGAAAGTGCTGCCCTGACATCACTCCCGCTGCCACCAGGGCCGTCATACCTGCCACCGCTGCCTGCACCACATGCTCCGCCAAATCAGTTGCTGATGGAGAAGTGGCAGCTCCATCAGTGCTGATTTCAAGTGAAATTGTGCCAATTTTGGGAGAGATCTCACCCGAAATCAGCACTGATGCTGGCCCTGCTTCTCTATCGCTGGGATGATTTCTGGAGACCACAGAAATCTGACATCCTATGATTTTCTCTGCAACCCCAGTGCAATATATATTGCATATTAAAAAGGGGGGTTTAAAAGACATCCAAGATTTATGACTCGCCTCACAAGGAAAAGGGTTGCCATCGATGGTGTGCTCTGATCCGGAGTCTTGGCTTGCCCCCCAATGAAAATGGAATTGTTTCAGCCGGTAAGGATCTTCCAGTGGCCCTCCACTGACCGCTGCAACCAAGAAGACAGACAGAAAACTGGCAACTGGCTTCCATGAAGCTGACCATATTATACATCCCTCCACCCACCTCAATAGCTCTAACCTGGAAAAGTCCCAGGTGCAACAATACAAGGCTTGGTTTCCTTTCGATAAGTGAGCACTGAAGACGTCTTTGCAATACTGTATCTGTTTTATTTACAGATAGTATTCACATTGCCAGAAGGGCTCTCGGAATTGCTTACAGATTTATAAGCACAGTCCCTGCTCCTCAGGCTTACAGTCTAAAAAGACACAGCACGGAAAGGAAAGGAAATGTACAGGGAGGGAGGAGGAAAACAAGCAAACCCAGGGAGCATATTCTTGACATCGCAAGGTTCTTATAAGCTGCTTACAAAAAAGAGAGAAGAGAAACAGTCTCTCTTCAACAAGAACAGAGCAGTAAAAGTAAATTCCAGACTCCATCCAGATATAGATAAATACAGTGCCATCTACTGTTTGAACTAAATAATGAACTAAATAAATCCACAAAGAAATTCAACCCCAAAAGCTAGAGAGAGATTCCTAAATATCAACCTCTAGCTCAGTACTGTCTATACCGGGGTGCCCAAACTTTTTTCAAAGAGGGCTAGATTTGATGAAGTGAACATGCGTGAGGACCGACCAAAGCTGTTGACCTTTGGACATGCTTAGTCTATACCCTTCTGGATTTCAGGCAAGAGTCTTTCCCTGTTAGGGATTGAATTTGGGACCCTTTGCATGTCAAGCTTGTGCTCTGCTACTGGGCTGCAGTGCTTCCTACAAGATGTTAGGGCAGAGGGCGCACTGCAGGCACTGTGGTAAGTGCTGCCCCCTGCAGTGTGGCACCCATTGCACCCCCCCAAGCTATGCCTCTGTGTTGGAGACACCCCCACCCTGCCAAGAGGACACACCTGGAGCCAAGCCTGAGTGATGACAACCCAGAGCAAACTGAAAGTGTGCACTAGAAGAACTTGTTATATCGCAGACCAGACTTCCTCAACCTCAGGTCTTCAATATGTTGTTGGACTACAACTCCCATCATCCCTGACCATGGGCGTAGTCAGAATTTTTGTTGGGGGGTGGCAGGCCGTTTGTTAGGGGGGCAGAACTTCAGTTTGCTATGTATTTTTATTGATTTAGGAGAAGCAGCTGCCCCTCCCTGCCCCCCCCAGCTGCATCCATGTCCCTGACCACTGACCATGCTGGCTGGGGCAGACAGAGGAGCTCAACATCAAGAGGGCCCCAGGTTGCCCACCCCTGCCATATAATGCACAAGCATATATTGAGCCATGGATTTGACCTCATGCATTATTGCAGCACAGAAGCACCCTACTTGAGCTTAAGTGAGAATGGATTCATTACAGCCCCATTCATTGTCACTAAATACCACTGTAAATGAAGAATTTGCTGAATGGCATCTACTACTGTTCTTCACAAGTTAAGTCTTACGTATTCCAAAGGCTGCAACTTAATACTGTACTTGATAAATGGCACCATGGACGTTCCTCACCTGTCACTGGAGACTCAGCTACTCTGTAACTATAGCTTTTAAGGCATCTTTCCCGGCTGGAAAAAACCTGGAACAGCACCATACCAGTGTGTAGGCACAGACGAAAGAAGTGTGGGGCACTTCTGCTCCCCACAGACACAAATTCAATGGGCCAGCATAGTTTCCCCAGCAGTTCTCCTCTGTCCCACGTATCTGATTGATCTGGCTTTTCCCCCTAATTCCAGTGTTGCCCCAAGTATAGAGAGAGTTGATTGTGGGTGTGATGGTGGAAGAGAAGGGAAGGATTAACTCTTTCTCCTTGTGCTGTTTTCCCAAAGAAAATCGCCAATCAAGGAAATCATTTCAGGTGGAGCCTGCAGTAAAATGCTGCAGTGTGGGTATTCCATTCCATTCTGCATCCCACTTGGTTTTCCATTTTGTTCTCTAATAGCCAGCCTGTGTTCTGCAGCCACTGAACATGTGGTCACATCTATACCATACATGGCTTCCTCAAAGAATCTTGGGAACTGTGGTTTGTGAAGGTTGTTGGGAATTGCAGCTCTGCGAGGGGTAAGTCACTGTTCCCTGGATTCTCTGGGGAAGAAGAAGAAGAAGGAGGAGGAGGAGGAGTTTGGATTTGATATCCCGCTTTATCACTACCCTAAGGAGTCTCAAAGCAGCTAACATTCTCCTTTCCCTTTCTCCCCCACAACAAACACTCTGTGAGGTGAGTGCGGCTGAGAGACTTCAGAGAAGTGTGACTGGCCCAAGGTCACCCAGCAGCTGCATGTGGAGGAGCGGAGACGCGAACCCGGTTCCCCAGATTACAAGTCTACCACTCTTAACCACTACACCACACTGGGAAGCAATAGGCTTTAAGTGTATGGCATCCTCATTGGACTGTTTTTGCTCTTACCTCCCCATTCAGGCTTTCTTTTTCTAAATAATGTTTGGTACTTCTGCAAACTTTATAGTTTCTCCAAGCTCGCTGCTACCTCCCTCCTTTTGCATGGAGGGTGCCATTTTGGCCCCTGAATGATCCACACTCACCTCTGCGCTTTGAAAATAGAGGGAATTGTTTGTTACATGTTAATATCATTTCTCTACCAAGGGGGCTTAGAGGAAAGTAAACATCGTTCTTTCCTCTCCTTTTCATGCAAATCTCTTCTAAGAAGCACATTTTTGTGTACAGTTTTGACTACTGAAGACATTTTTGCAATCCTAGCATAATGCATTTTTCAATGTTATTTTCACTAGTTTATTCATTTTATGCACACTTTCCCCCAAATACATGCATTTCTGAAGAAGTATGAATTTTGAACAATGGCTGTATTTCAGTTCTCATATTATTTCGGAAAGTGCCTATTTGACAGATTCAGCTTTAAATGTGAACTTAGTTGACACCTCCCCCTCACTGAACATAACATGCACCACTTACCTGTTTTGTCATCAACATCCTTAAAGTCTACCATGACTGAATGCCCATTATTGGAGATGTCGATGGATGAGCACGATTCATACGAAATGCTAAGGGGCTTCAGGCAGGGGTCATAAATGGCTTGTGTGGGAATTATATCAATTGGAGACTGATGATTTCCTTGGGCAATGGGGTAGGACTTGTACCACTCAGGAGGTCCTTTGAGAAGGAAAAAGGGAAAGACTGTTACATCATTCTTACCTTCAGACATTGTGAGGTGGCTTTTTATTTATTTATCCTCAGAAGGATTTGGAGTACTGCCTTCCATCATTTACAGAGGGCAAACTAAAGCTTGTCTCAGTAAGACTTATATGGAAAAACCTGAACTAATCAGACTAGTAGAACATTATTTTACTGACTGGGTAACTTCAGTGAAATATGGCAGGCAAAAGTCATTAGAACCATTGGTACATCTTGCTCAGTGTTGCCTACACCAGGGTGGGGAACTGTAGCCCTGCAGGTGTTGCTTTTGGAGCACAATTCCAGAATGCAGCAGCTAAGGACTTTTCTGAACACACCATTTCTAGTGGCATAGTTGCTGTGTATTTTTTCCAGATTTTTTTGGCATGCTGCTGCATGACATTGCCAATATTCAGCTAGTATTCTGGAATAATGTAATAAAAAAAATTCTACCACAAAAACCCTGACTTTTGTGAAAGAACTGGAATGGAGCCTCAATATTTTCATTTGTGTGGCACGTGCACAAACACCATCCCAGTCTCTGTGTAGCCGGTGGGCATAGTTTGGGAGACACCTGTTCTGCACCCCTTCCCTTGGGCAACAGCCCACTGTCAGCATGCATGCTCCGTTCAAGAGATGAGGTTGAGGATTCTGAGTGAGATGGGGAATTGCATGCAGTCCCAGCAGCACTTCCACACAAGTGGAGCCAGTGCTTCTATGACTTGAGGACATTACACTGACTCAGAGGACTCCATTGCAGAAGCTCCCGTAGAACCAGAGTCTCTGCCACTCCCTTGGAGCTGAGGCCCTTTAACTGAAAGCAGAGAACTCTTGCTCCTATACAGGGCTCAGTCTCAGGCTAAGCGTTCCTGAAGTGACACTGGATGTCTGCTTTGCTAGCCCAGTCAGCCTAAACCCTGCACACAAAGCAGGTTAGCGTTGCCTGCCCTGCTGCAGAGGCCAGTGCTTGCAGCAGGACAATTGCTCCATCTCCAATGTATTGTCTACTTTGCCTGGCAAACATAGGTCTTCCCTACCACCTGGTGCCCCAGAGATGCCAGGGACTGGATCTTGGAATCTTACATATGCAAAGTATTACGTGCTGCTCTGCCTTGGAAATATGGCTCCTTCCATGGGCAGCTGTGTTGTGTTTTCCTAGCATCATTCTCTAACGCCCGCAGTTTTTCTGTGAACTGTTGTGTTTTTTTTGAACAGTGAACACACATGAAGCTGTTTCACACTGAGGTAGCTGGACCATCTAGTTCAGCACATATATGCTTTCTGGGAGAGGCTCTCCACTGCAAACATCTTCCCCAGGCCTGTTATTTGAAAACCTTTCACATGAGAAGCCAAACATTTGCCCAGAGATCTTATGCATGCAAACCTCTAATGTGTTCCACCATTGGTCCATGAAAATTCCATTTTGGGCTACCTTCATTCACCCTCCTGATGACAATCTGATGACAGAAGTAGCCAAGTAGCCCTTTTAAATAATGGTAAACACCAGAATTGCTATGCTCCCCTGCCTCCACTCAGTCATTTTGTGAGGACTTACAGTGGTACCTCAGGTTACATACGCTTCAGGTTACAGACTCCGCTAACCCAGAAATAGTGCTTCAGGTTAAGAACTTTGCTTCAGGATGAGAACAGAAATCATGCTCCGGCAGCACGGCAGCAGCAGGAGGCCCCATTAGCTAAAGTGGTGCTTCAGGTTAAGAACAGTTTCAGGTTACCGTAAGTATGGACCTCCAGAACGAATTAAGTACTTAACCTGAGGTACCACTGTGTTTTCTATAGATTGCTTTAATGCTGTGCACTTTTCCCTGATCAATGCTAGAGCATGCATTTTCTCTCCAGTTTTCCTCCCACGAAAAGGTTACCCCATTTTCCATTTGCATGCCGACTAATGTTTGATTGGCATGCAGGTACATATTGCTGACTAGCAGGTTATCTGGAAAGGCCCTTAAAAGGGGCACAGGTCATGAACAAAGGTCAGTAGACTTGGTGTCTTTGCACTTCTCTAATGAAGAATAAACTTACAAGAAGATGCTGCAAAGGCAAGTCATGCTTTGACCCCAGCATGCAGAAAGGCAATGAATCTTGTGGCTCTTCCGAGCAATAATTGAACAGTTGCTTATTGGTTAACCACTTAAGCGCCTGTTGCACTTTGCCTATTTTCTAGGAAAGATGGCATGCAGTCGGCATCTGCAAGGAGTACAGCAGTAAGTGCAATAAGCAGAAGAGCAGAGAAAGGATGGGATGGATCCAAAGCAGAAGGGGAAGGGTCTGCATATAACCTACCATCTTTCTGCCCATATCCCCAGCAGTTATGACCGGTCATTATGTAGGCGGATTCGTTCTGCTTTGCTGCCAGCTCTTTTAATCCGAGCTGCTGCAGCTTACCTGCCTTTATAATAGCTCACTTGTGGGACAGTGTCAGTCTCTTAAAGAGGCAGCAGCAGCAGTTCCTGCTCCTGAGTCCACTGTGTACAACTAGGACTGTTTAAAATATGATCCCAGAAAAAGAGATACCCAGTTAGACTGGGGTTTGTGATGGGGGATTTGGAATTCCACGCATATCCTTTTGAATTCACTCGTGGCAAATATTAGACAGGTGCTCTCTCTATTGTCTTTTCAGCACCTACAGAAGATATTCTTCTCCCAATGAGCCTTTTAGGTAGAGATCTTTCTGGATCTGCATCTGTATTGAAATTGTCTTTATATGTTTTAATTTGTTATTGCTTGTGTGTTTGCCAGCCTGAGCTCCTTTGGGAGAAAGGACAGGATATAAATATTGTTGCTGCTGCTGTTGTTAATAGATAATGCCACACACACACAGCTCCTTTCATTTTGCTGGTCTTCCATAAAGGCTATTGATGCAACAACTATTGTGTGCAACATAGGTAGATTCAGTGCATCTCTTCAGTGCATCTTAAAAAAAGTTAAAACATATTACATTCACAGGAATAGGGTGGGCCTTGAAAACACACATCTCAGGTGGCAAAGGCCAGGGTAAAGAGATAGATCATCAGTCACCAAAAGAGAATGCTTTTTCCCAGAACCCCCACCTCCACCCAAATTTTTAGGGAGATGGAACCACCTAGAGCCCCCTGTTTATATTATTAATAATAATAGTACAGTGATACCTTGGTTTACAACCATAATCCATTCCAGAGGTCCGGTTGTAAACCAAAACAGGTTTTAACCCAAGGCGCGCTTCCGCCAATGGGGCCTCCAAAAAAAAAATTGGTTGTAATCCAGAAAAAGGGACACACACTTCAGGGAGGGTTTGACATGGTTGTAATCCAAAACAGTTGCAAACCAAGGTACTACTGTAATCATGAACTGACATGGAAAAATTAGAAACTGAAAGAAACCAAAAGCATTTCTAGGCCCACCAGCATACCTAAAAACAGAGAAAATGCTCCATCAGTCATTTGCATCCTGCAAGTAGAAGGCTGTAGTCCTATACTCATTTACTTGGGAGTAAGGCCCACAGAGGGACGCGGGTGGCGCTGTGGGTAAAAGCCTCAGCGCCTAGGGCTTGCCGATCGCATGGTCGGTGGTTCGAATCCCCGTGGCGGGGTGCGCTCCCGTTGCTCGGTCCCAGCGCCTGCCAACCTAGCAGTTTGAAAGCACCCCCGGGTTCAAGTAGATAAATAGGGACCGCTTACTGGCGGGAAGGTAAACGGCGTTCCGTGTGCTGCGCTGGCTCGCCAGATGCAGCTTTGTCACGCTGGCCACGTGACCCGGAAGTGTCTCCGGACAGCGCTGGCCCTCGGCCTCTTGAGTGAGATGGGCGCACAACCCTAGAGTCTGTCAAGACTGGCCCGTACGGGGAGGGGTACATTTACCTTTTTAAGGCCCACAGAACTCAATGGGGCTTAAATGTACAATTGTGCAGTAAAAGGGAGAACCTTGATTCTTGTCCCCCACTTGAGTCCTGTCCTTGGAGGGGCAATTTAACTTGGTAGTGAAAGGTTAGTTCCTTCTATATTTGTTATCTCTTATGTGACACATGATAAAATAAGTCACTATAACCGAAAAAGTTAATGAGAAACAGCATTCAACCTGGAACCTCTGAAATATGTGAGGAAGCAGATATGAAGTGCAATCCAGCAGGGAAGATTACATCTATAATCATTACTAGCCATTGACAGCCTTATTCTTCATGGGTTTTGTCTAATATTTTAAAGCTGTCCAGGTTGGCAGTTATCACTACATCTAGTGAATTCCATAGCTCATCATTAGGAAAGGAATCAGAAACAAAACTGAGGGTATTATCATGCCTTTATATAAATATATGGTACAATCATTCCTAGGCTACATTCAGGCAGCATTTTATTCCATCCTCCAAAAGTTCCTTTACCATTTAATTTTTGCATCTTATGTCATCTTTCACATGATGCAAAAGCTACTTATGGAAATCTAGAAGTGGATTCCAAAAGACTTTAAGTGCTCGTTTCTGTGTTTCCAGGAAAAAATCAATGCACAATTCCATTAACTTTGCAAATCACTGGAGTTTTACATGGTAATTTCCCCACGGTTTTCGTGTCATGGCTTCTCACATGAACAAACCTGGGCGATATAGTGATCTTCTGCAGTATAGCCACAGTTGCATCACACAACAGGTAAAAAAGGACCCCTGACCATTAGGTACAGTCGTGACCGACTCTGGGGTTGCGGCGCTCATCTCGCTCTACAGGCCGAGGGAGCCAGCGTACAGCTTCCGGGTCATGTGGCCAGCATGACTAAGCCGCTTCTGGCGAACTAGAGCAGCACACGGAAACGCCGTTTACCTTCCCGCCGGAGCGGTACCTATTTATCTACTTGCACTTTGACATGCTTTCAAACTGCTAGGTGGGCAGGAGCAGGGACCGAGCAACGGGAGCTCACCCTGTCGCGGGTTTAACCCACAGCGCCACCTGCAGGTACTGCAGTGTAAAAGGAGCATTGGAAAGAAGGGCAGAAGTGCTAGCACTATGCCCCATCAAACTAGCTCAATTAACCCCATATTTGAATACTGTGTACAATCCTGGACACTGCATCTCAAAAAGGGCATTGTAGAGCTGGGGAAAGTGCAGAAAATTGCTACTAAAATGATCAAGAGGCTGGAATACCATGCATTTCAATGTTGCTTGTGTAGAACAGTATCTCATTGGATTATGCTCCCTATTAATCTGTCAAATAATTGCTCCAGAAGCACTTTTAAAAGAATATATTTTTACTTCCCAATAACAGTAGTTGTCAGCCAGCCTCCATTTGTTTTAGTGAGTCTTGAACAGAACACCCACTGGTTGTGCTAAATATTCTCTACTCAAGAATTCTCCCCACTCGCATTTCTGAAATAGTATCTTATCCTTGTACAGCGTATCTCCCCTTAGGTTACAATAGAATTACTGACATTCTCAAGAGCTGTAAGGAGAACCGTAGCTGCAATTGATGTTATGCACTAATGTAAAGGAGACCAATCAAATTCTCTGTTGTTAAGTTATATATCTGAAAGCATATGTAAAAACCATTCAAAAGGTGGACAAATGAGATCTAGAGATTAGCTTCTATTCAGTTATATTTTTCTTTAATAAAAATTAAGTGATTGTTGACTCCAAAATAAGTGCCACTGCATTCAGTATGAAGATAAATAGAATAGGACTGCAACTTTAAATGTATGTTGCAGAATGAGAATGCACTTTTAAAAAAAGAAAGGAAGGCTGTAATTCTATGCCCATTTAACTGGGAGTACTGTAAATCCAGCTGAATTTAGTGGGACTTACTGGTGAATAGACATATACAGGATTGCATTGTAATAAACAAAAAGCCATAGAGTTGGAGGGGGAATACAAATACATGTATATGAAAAAGTGTGTGCTTGGAGAGAGGTATTTGCAACAGAAAATTCAGCTACTGCATTAAATGGGATTATGTCCAATATTTTTAACCTATATGCTTTCTGTACCAGTGTTCTTTTGATATGAATTATGAAATAGTGATCCATTTCCAGACTATCTACAATAGGGTAGTCACAGAAGACAATAAATATTAAAATGTTGCCATTTTATTTCAATAAGCAGAATGTCAAATACTTAACCGTTGCTACAATCCCAGAATGGGGAAGAATGTACAGTATTGACACAGCAAATACAAAGCCAGAGAAAAGCATAATGTGAGATAAGAAAGCTGGGAAACAGGAAACATTCACTTGCAGTAAATCATCTCTTCATTATAACATTAAAGTTGCAGAGGGGAATTCCCACAGCGCTCATTACTTCTGAACAGGTTTACATAGGACTGCTCTGTAAGGTAAACATACCATTCACACCTATTTAGCACTAGGAGTAACCCAACTGAATTTTGGGTGTTTCCAGGTTGTTGCTACTTTCAGGTGGGATTTAGTCACATGCCAGCAAACTCAAGTTGTACAATTGGGAGTTCTTGCGCAACATACCTGCTCTCTCCCCACCAATCTTTTCTGCAATAAATGATGGAGATGTGCACCAGGAAATTATTAGTATTTATTAAATTTGTGTTCCGCCTTTCACCCGAAGATCACAGGGCGGTTCACCACCTAAAAATACAAAATGAGAGCACGAAATACATAATAAAATACAAAATAATGGCGCTGGAGAGGAGCATAGGAAGCTGCCCTATACGAGTCAGACCGTTGGTCTGTATTATCTACACTGAAGGCATGGTCCAACGAGAAGCGCCCTGCATAAAAGCAAATATTCTCTCATTCTCCGGTGTATTTCCCCATCCTCGCCACTTTCCTTATCAGACAGGGCGCTCCTAGGCTGCCGCTGTTCTCCAGTGGGATTCAATCGCATATTACTGGCAAATCCACGATGCCGCATTTATTTGGGAGGAGGATGCCAAGGAAGGTGTGCGGGAACCTACGCGCATAAGCCACGCCGATCCCACAGTAAACAGCAACAGACGCTGACCGCGGCACCAGCAGCCGACTTCCCATCCACCAAAGCGTCGCGCCGCGGGAGGAGGCGGGACGAGCGACCCTGCCCGTCAAGCAAAAGCAGCGAATTGCCGGCGGAGCTTGCCGGCTTGCGCAAGCGCGTTGGCGGACGCTGAGCATTCTTGCGCCCCTTCAGGAAGGCTTGGGGAAGTGCGGCGGAGAGGACCGTCCTCGGTTCGGCGAAGGGGCGTCATGGCGGCGACGGTGCAGCAGCAGGGCAGAGTCAGCCTGAAGGAGCAGCGCTACGACCGGCAGCTCAGGTCGGCCTGGAGGGCGAGGAGGAGGAGAACGAGGGCTAGTTGGTCGCAGCGCAGGGGGAACGGTCCGCCTCGCGTTGCCACTTGCAGGGAGGCGGGTTGGGCAGGGGGCTTGGAGAGGCTCTGCCAGGGCAGGATCCTTCCTTGGCTGTTTCCTAGGGGCGCCCCCAGGATGGTCCAGTCGCCGCTCAGGGGACTTTCCTCGGCGGTACCGGAGCCAGGACGCCCTCCATCTCCTCCCGCCCAAGGCCTCTCTCCGTTGGCTAAGCCTAGGGCTTAAAAACAAAAGCGAAGAGCTCCTTAACAAACTTTTAGAAAGGCAGTGCGTGTCTAGTGGTTACAGCGGCTGTTCAGGACTGGGAAGACCCAGGTTCAAATCTCCCATTGGCCATGGAGCTCAGTGGGTGACAGGGGGCTTCTTACGCTGGGCAGGTGCACCCCACCTCCAGCAGAGATCTCTCTCCTTCCTATGCCAGGTATACATCTCAGGGACTCGCTTCACTTTTAACAGATGCATCTTCTTCCCTAGCAAGTTCTAGTGTATCTTTTATATTGTTCCCAGCGACAGCCAAAAAGCCTCTGACCCAAAGGAGCACTTTGCTGTGTGTGCAGGTTTAAAGCTCTCTGTGTACCCTACTTCACTGGCTTGTTATGATGATGGAAGGGGAAGACCTATGTTCACATCAGCCTGAGTTCCTTGGAGCTTTAAGCACTGTATAAATATATTACAAATAATGCTTACAAACCTCCTTAAAGCGCTCAAAAACCTTACAATATTTTATAACTTGAGTCTGTTAGAAATCAAGCTTTCTTCTTCTCTTAGCCAATTGTTCTATCACTCTGACAGATTTGTATTGTGCTCTTCCTCTGAGCAGTTCAGGGCCACATCATCATAGTATTTCTATTAGGTGGATGAGGCTGAGAGATGGTGCATAGTCCAAGACCACCTAGTAAGTTTTAAGGGATTTTGAACCTGGATCTTTCTAGTCAAAGTCTGAACACCTGTAGTCCTCCATAATACATCCCATTATCCCTGATTATTGGCCATGTTGGCTGGGGCTTCTGGGAATCGAGAATCCAACATCATCAGGATAGCTATTTGTTCCCCAATCTTGGTCTAACACTATAATTACTATATGAAAGTTTCTGTCCTGTTCCTTTTTCAAGACTAGCCACTTCTCATTTCATCTGTTAGTTGTTTTTTAAAGATACGCAGTTCCATGCTTATATAAAGAAGCAACACTTAACAGTGATGTTCTGAACCATCCTTCATCAATGCATCAATTTCTTGTATGTATCCTCTCTCAAAATTAGGAATGTTGATGATGCCTGTGTTTTTGTGTTGCAGATTATGGGGTGACCACGGACAAGAAGCTTTAGAATCTGCACATGTTTGTGTGATAAATGCAACGGCCACAGGAACTGAGATCCTCAAAAACTTAGTTCTTCCAGGTATAAATAAAAACAAATGTGCAACTTTCATTGAGTAGAAAAGTTGTAATTTGGTGTAAACACCATTTTTATTTGTTTCTTCAAGGTGTTGGATCGTTTACAATTGTTGATGGGAATCAAGTCACCGGTGAAGATGTTGGCAATAGGTAATGTGTGCACCATAGTTCTGAAAATGAAGGAGCGTGTTTAGGTGTGGGAGGTGAGGTGCTTGCAAACCCATAGGGACACTGCTGACCTCTAAACTATATGATCGGAAGATTGGGCAATGTTCTGTCTGTACCAGGCCTATTTCAAAATTACCATTTAAAATACGTGGGGGAAATTCAGTGGGGCTCTGAGGAGCACAGTGGTGTAGAGTGTGGGGCAAGTAAAGATGTGGCTATGCAGAAACAACTGGGAATGTGCTCTTGGTTGGTCTTTGGCAAGTGAGACTTGTTAAAAGAACTGATAAATGAGCTGGTGCTTAGAGTAAGCCCCACTGGGACTGACTGGGTCCTGTTCCTGCATTCTTCCACTGTCTCAATGTTCTGCTGTTGATAGGGCCATAATCACTTGAATTACAAAAATACAAAATATTAATTCCAACAAGAACATTCTATTGGAGAGAGGAAATGTGGTTGGGCTGTTTTCTTGGAGTACATTCCATAAAGTGATATATTTTATTTCCCAGAAATGTTTCATCAAGTTAAAACTCTGAAATGTGTGGTTGCTTTTTCTGCTTTTTCTAGTTTTTTCCTGCAAAGAAGCAGCATTGGCCAGGTAAGAAAATATTAAATGTGCTGTATTAGGAAAGTGACTCTATAGTATTTGAGAGACCACCTTATCTCTTATCTATGCAGTAGGTCACTGTAGTCTACAGGATAACTTCTCCTAAAGTTCCAAAGATCTCAAAAGCCCACTCCACAGTAACTTGGAGCAGGGATTTCTGTATGGCAACCCCTGTTCTATGGAACAAAGATATGACAATTGCTCACTATTTGCACTTTCCAGAAACAGTTGAATACATTTTTGTTCTGACATGCTTTCACAGGTGAATGAATGGGTCTCTGCCATGGGTGTTTTAAAAATTATCTGTTGTTGTTTTCTGTGTTACGTTTAGTTGTTTTAAGCTGTTTCATTCTGTTTTGTACATTGCCTTGAAACATGTTCATGGAAAGTGATTAACAATAACTAACTAACTAACACTACATTGGACCCACCTGGTGAAATATATTTTTCTTTCTCTTTCATAATAAAGAGATTAACAGTGCAATCTCATACATGTCTACTCAGAAGTAACTCCCAATGAGTTCAAAGGGATTTACTTCCAGGTAGGAGTGAACAGAATTGCAGCACATAACTAAATAATATGACTAAAATACAGAAACAGATTGCAAATTATGTAAGAGCCAATCAGAACCCTTACAAATTCAGACAAATGCTTGGAAGGACTTGTTCTAATTAGTTCACTCAAAATTAAGAGTTCTTAGCCACCTGCTTGTATGCAAAGGTTAGCATGTTCTACCCAAACAGAACTTTGGTCATTTCCCCCTCTAGCTATGCTAGTGCCTGTGAGAAAGTAGAGCCCACATCAAATTCCATTGTCCTCTTTTCTCTGCACCACTTTTCATCAGCAATGCATAACCTGACCACTCCATGTGTTGGTAGCCTTGAGGCTGGGTTACTTTAATGTGTTCTATGTGGGGCTGGCCTTGGATCTAGTTCTTTGTATGTTGATTTAAGTGTAAATTCCACCGTAATAGTAGTAGTATCAATACACACCTTTTTCCCTGACAGGGACTCAATGCGCTTACAGATAAAAATAAGAAAACCTAAAAATATGCGATGGGGAAACAGTCATTAAAAGCAATTAAATGTTGATAGAGAATCAAAACTATATATATACAAATAACTGCAATAAAAACAGCACAGCACAGCCATTTCATTAAAAACAGTCAGTTCCTAAAAACCTTTTGGAACAAGAAAGTCTTCACCTACTGAAAGAAGGACGACAAGGAGAGAGCCAACAAGGAGAGGGAACACCCCTCTCTGCATCCCCACCAAACACGCTTGTGAGAGAAGTTTGTAAGCATGCATAGGATTGTAGTCATAACAGTCTAATATTTCCAATTGTTATTTTTAAACAGAATCGAGCCCAGTGCGCCACAGAACTATTACAAGAATTGAATAATGATGTCTCCGGAAATTTCGTGGAAGAGGTTTGTAGCAAACATCCTTGTGTATAATGGAGTGTTGGCAATTGGAGAAGTATAAAAGAGAAGGTTGCATGTGCATGCCACCTATAACCATGGCAAGCAACTGGAGAATTACAAGTGAAGGGAAATGGTAGCCAAGCCAGCTGAGTTGTGTAGCATCCTGCCTCCTCCACAGCACCCTTTGTCATCACTGTGGAAAGGTCTGATGTGAAAAGGCATCATCAGCCCACACTTTAATAGCAAATCCTGTTCATGTTGTGTGAATTGATATTATAGCAGAACATAGATTTACTCCAAAAGTAGGGTGAGCTTGGCAGTTGTTAATGCAGCTTTAAAGAGTGTGCATGTGACACTGAACCTTGGCCAAATTGTGCCATACAGTCATCACTGTTCTCTGCAGCGTGAATGAGGTAACTGCTATGTTTATGTGGCTGATGCCTTGATTGATGCTTGAATGTGAGGCACAGAAAATTCCAGGGGTTGATTTGTTCATATCTGTAGGATTTAGAAAAATTCTAAATTTAGGTGGGCTTAAGTTAACCGTAGTCCTACATATATGTGCATATTAAAAGTAAGTTTGCAATTCATGCACTTAGCTCAATAAGTGAAACTAATGTTTAATATTTCTATGTGTAATTGCTTCATGATCTAATATGTATGTGTCTAATGCATTTTCTTAAGAATCCAGATAAACTTCTGGACAATGATCCTTCATTTTTCTGCCGGTTTAATATAGTGATTGCAACTCAACTCCCAGAGAGGTAAGCAAGAATCAAATTAACAGTATCATGTAAAATGCAAATATTCTTGAGGCTTTTCAGTGAATATGTAAATTACGTGAGAAAGCTAGTGTGTCATCCTTGTTTTTAATGCTTACATCCAATTGATTTCCATTATGTTTGAGCACAATTCCATTTAGTTAAGTTGTGTTTTCCTCTAGCTATTGCCATTCCACTGAAACAAAAAAAATACACACTTGGATGGGAAATTCACTAGATAAGGGCCAAACTAGATGTTCTAGAAACCTGAGTTCCTTAGGTATTGCAAAGGGGTAGGAGTGGAAATTGTGTCCTTGCAACCTTTCTCCCTAGATGTTTTCTCCATACCCGACCCAGAAAATGCGTGTCTGGGAACGAAGTGAGGGTTGCAAAGGGAACGTGCATAAATTATTTCTGCCCTTTGCTTTGTAGTAGAGAAACAACAGTCTGATTTCCCAGTGCTGCATTTGTTTCTAAATGCTTTGTTTGGCCCTAAGGAGATATGCTGTGGTAATCAACTTGTTAACCTATCATTCCTTATAAAGGAATTCTCTACATGATTTGTGGCCTGCATCTTGATAATGAAAAGAGTTCAGTCATCTCTATAATCTGATAAAGATTCAGAAAAAGTTGCTACATTGCTCACTATTTTTCATAATATACTTAAAACAATAAATTTGAATTATTTAAGATACACTATATCTTGAGGTGCTGGTTTAAATAACTTTTGTGATTGCTTAACTTTATGTTCAACAGAAATATAGGCTGTGGACTGCTATTAAAGAAAAAAAGATTTCTTTTTTGCAATAGAGCGTTCTCTCTCTCTCTCTCTCTCTGTTCTCTTGATCTGACTCCATATCTTAATCTTTTTTCAGTACATTACTCAGGCTTGCCGAAGTCCTTTGGAATTATAACATTCCGCTATTAGTTTGTAGGACTTATGGATTAATAGGATATATGAGAATCATTATTAAAGAACACCCAGGTGAGAGATTCATTTAATAATTAAGAGCTTCTCCTATGTTGGGGTAGTCAACATGGTGCCTTACAATTATTGTTGGTTTCCAGCTCGTATTGGCCAAGCCAGTGTGGGCAGGGATGATGGGAGTTGTAGTCCAACAACATCAGAAATATACCATGTTGGCCACTTCTGCCTTATAGCTTATACATGCCCATCTTTTAAAATGTTATTATTATTGAATCATAACATGACAGATTTTTTGAGACACTTCAGTGTGCTTCATACAAAAAAATAATAATCTAGAAATGGATTATGATCATGTAGTTCGTCTTGTTGGTAGCAAAATTAGATGTAAAATCCAGTCCCAAGCTGTAGATCTGACTACCTCTACTTTTTATTGTATGCCATTTCTCCAGCAAGTAGTAGGTTTTTCCAGAGGGGAAGGGGCATTGCTCAAGGGTAGCATCCACATTGTATGTAGAAGGTTCTAGGTTCAATCTCTGGCATTTCCAGGTGGGTCTGAAAGAAAACCCTGTCTGAAATCCTAGAAAACGTTGCCTGTCAGTGTAGATAACACTGAGCTAGATGGACCATGTTGATAAATAGCATGTGAAGTTGAATATGTTATCATCAACTTTTCTTTCAAATCCAAATCTCCTTCAATATTTTTATAGTTGTGGAATCTCACCCAGACAATGCATTGGATGATTTGAGACTGGACAATCCTTTTCCAGAACTGAAGGAGCACATTCAGTCTTATGATTTGGATCATATGGAGAAAAAGGTTAGTATAAGCTCTGTGTTCTGTCTAGCAATATGGGTGCAAGCTTTAGAGTCAATCCACACACTCACAGCAACTAGCCCAAGAAGCACTGAATAGCTCAAAATAACTAAATCATTGATTATTATTTAAGGCTTTATGGCCACACCTTAATGCTGTTGGGATTTTAAACCAGAAGAAAATTCTGTCTTCACTAATGGGGCAACTTGCAAAGTCACATGCAAACTCATAAAGCTGAGGAAGTTGTGTGGGTTCTTCAGATTTGTTGCACAAATTGGAAGAATTATGCTGCAAGTATGTTAATGACACCTGTTTATTGAAAGTGGTTCAGTTAATTTATCTGTTTTTGTTGAATACTGAATTTTTGTGTGCATTGAACCTGTACTTAGTTCAACAGCTTCCATGCTTCAGGGTTGCTGTATTCATCTGTTTAAAGCAAGTATAATTTTGCATTTGCAGGAACACAGCCACATTCCATGGATTGTGATCATATCCAAGTATCTAGAAAAATGGCATAATGAAGTATGTAGACACCATGGTAATATTCTAACATATTGGTGCTTTCTTTTCAGCACTATGGAAATTAGGCTTCCCAAAGAAGCTTAAGTGCTGCTCTTATTACCATATTTTTCGCTCTATAAGACACACCAGACCACAAGACGCACCTAGTTTTTGGAGGAGGAAAACAAGAGGGATCGCTGTGTAGTGAAAGCAGCAATCCCTCTTGCTGTTCTGGCTTCTGGGATAGCTGTGCAGCCTGCATTCGCTCCATAAGACGCACACACATTTCCCCTTACTTTTTAGGAGGGAAAAAGTGTGTCTTATAGAGCAAAAAATACGGTATATGTTTTAGGACAGAGGCTGCAGTCTGGTGTGTGGCTGGCTGCTTAAATCCTACTGACCAACTCAATTTAAGCAGCCAAATTGTGTGCAGAAATGCAGCTAAAAAGCAAACCGGTTGAGTGCTCTCCAGAGATACTTATTTGGAACAAAAATATTTTTAAAAATCTGGTTTCATATAGGCAAAGTACCTGCATGGGAATCCCCCCAGGATTCAGTAATACCTTATTCCCTTGTGTTCTCTTTTATCCCTCACCCACCAATTTCAGCATGTAAGTTCATGGGCAGGCAGTTGTTTCAGGCAATTGAAGGTCTGTATGCACTTCCCATATCCCTATTCAGACCCCATTTTCTGCCTTATTTGTGTCCCAGGTTGGCCTGTATTCTGGGGAGTGGGGAGGGGATAGGGCTCAATTGAACCTTGTATGATTCCGTACCTGGGTGCTGCACCAGTACACAACTATATCAGGCACTTGCCTTGATTTATCGTCTTTGTTTAAGCATGAGATCCTGCTGCTGTTTTTGTTAAATATTGATGATTGCTTTTAATGTAAATGTTAAAACAAGTAAAGATTTCTCTTTATAGAAATAAAAAAGAGAATCAATGCCTGGATAGCTTACCCCTGGTCAGACATGGTTAGAAATATGGAAAATAGTGCCCCAAAGAACAATTTCTGCTATTTGCTGGAACACAGATGTATACTCAATACTCCATTGCTGGTTGGCCGCTCTATGTTTTTACATAGTTCACATATATAACTTTTCTATTTAGAACAGTGGACAGATGCCTAAGAACTACAAAGAAAAGGAAGCCTTCCGAGAGATGATTAGGCAAGGTAATGTCGAGCAAGAGCTTATTAGCAATATACCAAAGGTGCAGGATTTTAAAATACATTTTTATATATTAATATGGGCTGGGGGGGGGCTAATCTATGGCCTCCAGATGTTCTTAGACTTCAAGTCTCATCAGCCCCAGCCAACATAGCCACTCTGGTGGGAAGGTAAACGGCGTCAGGGATCATGAAAATTGTAGCATCAAGCGGGTCGGGGTGCTCATGAGTTAACCCAGGACTTAGCACTATATGAATGAGCCTTCACAAGTCTGAGTGAAGCATCAGGCTCTCACACACTCTGTCCCCTTTCATCCTCAGTAGTGGCACCTGCCCTATGGAACACCCTCCCATCAGATGTCAAGGAAATAAGCAGCTATCCTATTTTTAAAAGACATCTGAAGGCAGCCCTTTTTAAAAATAGTATAATATTTTAATATTTAATTTAAAAGTTTTAAATATTTAATGCTGTATTGTTTTTAACACTCAATTGGGAGCCGCCCAGAGTGGCTGGGGAAACTCAGCCAGATGGGCGGGGTATAAATGATAAATTATGATGATGATGATGACGATGATGATGATGATGATTATTATTATTATTATTATTATTATCCTGCTGCTGAGTTTAGTTTCACTTTCAAAGAATCTCCGCTTAGCATTGCTTGCAAGCCAGGGGCCCATATTTCAAGCTAGCAATGCTTAGTTTCTAAAGGAAACCAACTTCAAAATACAGCTTATAAAGCTGTCCTGTTTAAACAACCATTTTGTGTGTGTTTTAAATAGGATCCCTAGATTGTACACAGCACTAAAAACTAAGCAGAAATCTTCCTCCCGGGGGTATGGGAGGTGTGTGAGCAGGGGCTTCACTTCGGAGGTTCATCTATGTAGAACTAAACAATGGTTTAGCGTTGCAGCTTTATCTTGAGCTCTGTTGTGCTTTAAGAATACATGTAAAATATGCATAAATGGTATTACTATCTTTTATCATCACCATCATTAATGTATTAATCTTATAAGCCACTATCTCAAGGCAATTTACATAAAAATGCCTGAAGTATCAACTTTGAAGAGAACCTGACAAAGTCACTTGAATTTTAAGGAGCTAAAGGATAATGAAGATCATCCTGGAGAAGAGTGACTAGTGGGGTGCCACAGGGTTCTGTCTTGGGCCCGGTCTTATTCAACATCTTTATCAACGACTTGGATGATGGACTCAAGGGCATCCTGATCAAATTTGCAGATGACACCAAACTGGGGGGGGGGGGTGGCTAACACCCCAGAGGACAGGATCACACTTCAAAACGACCTTGACAGATTAGAGAACTGGGCCAAAACAAACAAGATGAATTTTAACAGGGAGAAATGTAAAGTATTGCACTTGGGCAAAAAAAATGAGAGGCACAAATACAAGATGGGGGACACCTGGCTTGAGAGCAGTACATGTGAAAAGGATCTAGGAGTCTTGGTTGACCACAAACTGGACATGAGCCAACAATGTGATGCGGCAGCTAAAAAAGCCAATGCAATTCTGGGCCTCATCAATAGGAGTATAGCATCTAGATCAAGGGAAGTAATAGTGCCACTGTATTCTGCTCTGGTCAGACCTCACCTGGAGTACTGTGTCCAGTTCTGGGCACCACAGTTCAAGAAGGACACTGACAAACTGGAACGTGTCCAGAGGAGGGCAGCCAAAATGGTCAAAGGCCTGGAAATGATGCCTTATGAGGAACGGCTAAGGGAGCTGGGCATGTTTAGCCTGGAGAAGAGGAGGTTAAGGGGTGATATGATAGCCATGTTCAAATATATAAAAGGATGTCACATAGAGGAGGGAGAAAGGCTGTTTTCTGCTGCTCCAGAGAAGCGGACACGGAGCAATGGATCCAAACTACAAGAAGAAGATTCCACCTAAACATTAGGAAGAACTTCCTGACAGTAAGAGCTGTTCAACAGTGGAATTTGCTGCCAAGGAGTGTGGTGGAGTCTCCTTCTGTGGAGGTCTTTAAGCAGAGGCTTGACAACCATATGTCAGGAGTGCTCTGATGGTGTTTCCTGCTTGGCAGGGGGTTGGACTCGATGGCCCTTGTGGTCTCTTCCAACTCTATGATTCTATGATTCTATGATCTATGTTTAAAGTCCTGCTTTTTCTGTTCTTATTAGGAATCTTAAAAAATGAAAATGGAGGCCTAGAAGATGAAGAAAACTTTGAAGAAGCTATTAAAAACGTGAACACAGCTGTAGCTGCTACTAAGGTAAAATAAGATTCCTCCAGAGTAGTCTAGCCACATAATTACTGAATCCTTTGTTGGAAAATTTGCTTAAATTTGTTCTCCCCCCACCCTCCTTTAGATACCAGGTTGTATTGAAGACATTTTCAGTGACGACTGTTGTGTCACTCTTTCAAAGCAGGTACTAAACACAAACAGCTTGCTACTGTGTTCTGCTTATCTAAATAGAAAAAGTTAGTGTGATACTTTTGTTTACCCTTAAGAGTCCACACTTTTGGATCTTGGTTCGAGCTGTAAAGGAATTTGTGGCAAAGGAGGGTCGAGGAAATTTACCTGTCCGGGGCACAATTCCAGATATGATAGCAGATTCTAGTAAATTTATCAAGCTGCAAAATATGTAAGTATTGTCTGTTTTTCGCTTTATATTATATTAAACATTGATTGATTGTGTGACACACACACACACCCAAACCATAGAATTGTAGACTTGGAAGGGATCCCAAGGGTCATCTAACCCACAGCAATGAAGGAATATCAGCTAAAGTATCCATGGCAGATGGCCGTCCAACCTCTGCTTAAAAACCTCCAGGGAAGGAAAATCCGCCACCTTCTTAGGGACTGTGAATCCAATTGGACTAGCAATATCAGCATGGGTGACACGACAGTGTAAGACAGGGTATAGCAGCTGTACAGCAGCACATGTAGATTTGAATGATTTTTGTGGTTGTTCCATGATCTCTAGCATTTCTTCCTTCAGAGCTCAATAAAAGGGAACCAAATGTGTATTTTCCCCCACATGTGTATTTTCAGCCACAAACGAATTGCCAATGCACCATTACCTGTAGTTCACTTACAGGGCAGTTCTCAGAAGTAAGTTCTGGGACTACAATCTTTAGAATGCTGCTCATTCCACTAACTACTTAGCCATAAAGGTATTTGTTCCCTTAACTGTGTTCATGTTCCTGATAAGTGAATTCAAGCAGATGACAATATTAATAGTTTTCAGTGGCCGTTTCTCACATGCCTGTTTTGTACAGAGATTTCTGTTTTGGTAGAAAAACATATAAAGTAATAATGACCTTCTAAGTACCAATTTTGATACAAATAGATCTTAGGAAGCTGGCACAGTCCCTGTCTTTCCATTTGTCTTTGACAGTCTGTAACATGAGAATGAATATTGATGTAGATGAAGCCTACTGATTTCTGGAATTGGTCTTACTGAAGTTTTACGTTTTTGCTCCTTTTTAAAAAGATATCGTGACAAAGCTAAGAAAGACGCCGAAGCTGTGGCTAACTATGCTGCCAAGCTGCTCCAGTCATTAGGCAAGGTGAGCTAATGAAAGTTATGTTTTGAATCTTCCTTCTCTTTAATCTCCCTTCTCTATCTTAACATGGAAAGTGGCTCCTATATAATGACCCAATCCAAAGAGCTAATGATCTGTACTCACAGATTTGTACTTGAGCGACAGAACTGTTGATAATTGCGAGTAGATTTTTTAAAAAAGTATAAATTAACATATTGTGTTGGGATGGTAACGGTAAAGGGACCCCTGACCATTGGGTCCAGTCGTGGCCGACTTGGGTTGCTGTGCTCATCTCACTTTATTGGCCGAGGGAGTTGATGTACAGCTTCTGGGTCATGTGGCCAGCATGACTAAGCCGCTTCTGATGAACCAGAGCAGTGTACAGAAACGCCGTTTACCTTCCCGCCAGAGTGGTACCTATTTATCTACTTGCACTTTGACGTGCTTTCGAACTGCTAGGTTGGCAGGAGCAGGGACCAAGCAATGGGAGCTCACCCCGTCTCAGGGATTTGAACCACCAACCTTCTGCTCGGCAACTCCTAGGCTCTGTGGTTTAACCCACAGCGTCACCTGCGTCCCGTGTTGGTATGGAGCCTTTAACTAAAAGACACCACTGATCATGTGACTTTCCTTGTTTCATTGTGACTGGGATGAATGTTACAGCCGTGAAAATTCATGGAAGATTCTAATTTCTAGGAATTGTGTGATGGAGGCATCCAGTAAAGTGTGGGCTAACATACTCACTGTCCTAAGGCAGGGCCACATGGTACCAAAGCATCAACTAGTTCCTGAGTCTTTGCCTCCACTCCAGTTCCTTTCCTTCCTTTAAACAGAATATGTTTAAACTGCTCCTCACTCCTATGTTTTTGTTTTTAATTCTTACCTTGCCAGTTCTTTGATTCTTCCTATTTTTTCTGCCTATTTTTTTCTTTCCCCCTTCAAAGTTAAAAAATAAATAAACTCAAACTCTTCCCCCACCCGATGCTTTCCTGCCTTTTTTCTCTTGCTGGCATCCAGTGGAAACAGAGATCAATGTCTTTCTTTCCCTATGGCCTTTTTTCTTTTGTGACATTGGAGCAGCTCATCCAACTGCAGAAATTTCACCACTAGAAAATCATTACCACATAATACTATTTTTTAAACAGATAATGCAACAAAGCAGTTTACACCAAAGCAGCAAATTTATATTGAGCATACACTTTCTTAAACACTGTCAGTCTTACTGAATCGGCAATATTCCTCAATTTTCTTATCTTATTTGCTACTTATTCTTATGACAATGCAGAATTAGGAGAAAGTGGCTGCTTAATAAGACTATTCTACTTAAATAAATGGACGCGGGTGGCGCTGTGGGTTAAAGCCTCAGCGCCTAGGGCTTGCCGATCGAAAGGTCGGCGGTTCGAATCCCCGTGGCGGGGTGCGCTCCCGTTGCTCGGTCCCAGCGCCTGCCAACCTAGCAGTTCGAAAGCACCTCCGGGTGCAAGTAGATAAATAGGGACCGCTTTCTAGCGGGAAGGTAAACGGCGTTCCGTGTGCTGCGCTGGCTCGTCAGATGCAGCTTGTCACGCTGGCCACGTGACCCGGAAGTGTCTCCGGACAGCGCTGGCCCCCGGCCTCTTAAGTGAGATGGGCGCACAACCCTAGAGTCTGTCAAGACTGGCCCGTACGGGCAGGGGTACCTTTACCTTTACCTACTTAAATAAATGTGACTTCAAACATCTAATAAACATTTTAAAAACAATTGTGTTAAGAGAATTGGCATGTTAACATGACACTTTATTTCATAGGCACCAGAATCTATTTCTCAGAAAGAACTGAGACTACTTTGTAAGTATTCATGGTTTTCTCTCAGTTTATACTGTGTTACATTGTCTTTGTTACTGTGTACTTAGTTTTTCACACATGGCTTCTCCATTTTGGCTTTGTTTTTGTTAAATAAATCATGACACATGTCATTTGTTGTTCATCTGAGGTTGCATTTACCTAATTTTAAGATCTGCTAAGGAACAGATGATTGTTACTATGTCCTGATATGTAAAACAGAATTCATAGAGGGTGTACTTTCTTTTTCACATGACTGTATATGCATAAAAACGTCCGTCTCTACAGAGTTTTTGGTGTCATTCTAGTGGCTGGAGAAAATCTATCCTTGTTTGAAGCATCTCACATTAGCGTTTCTGTAGACCAGGAGGTTCAAATCCTTATAAAGCCACTAGAAAATAACTCAGTGAATTTTATATAATTGCCAGGTTTATCCTTTTGTTTTGTTTTTTGTTAAAATGATTAGGTTTCAAGGGCTAGTTGTTTTTGTTTTTTAAAAATGCTATCCCTTCATTACACATACTTTTCTCTCTTATCCCCCTTCCCAACTCTATTTAGGCACTAATTCAGCATTTCTTCAAGTTGTGCGGTGTAGATCTCTTTCTGAAGAGTATGGTTTGAATACTTCAAACAAAGATGAGATCAGTAAGGACATGACTTTATTATCTACAGTCTTCTTTTATTGTGTTTTCATCTGCAGACAGTGATGTGAAAATAATGACCTGAAAGGGATTATGTCATGCTTTTGTTTCCTTTGTTTCTACTGTAACATGGGAAATGGAATTGGGATCTTAGTTACGGGGAAATGTGTGAGCCCCAAAGTAGCTTTGATCTTTGTACCTTATGGTTACAGCAGTGAGGGGGGAGTGAAAGTGCAACTTGCTTTTGCTATTTCTTGGTGAAAACAAATTTCAGAAATTATTTTGTTAGATCTGTAGAAATACATGAACCATTCATGCTGACTTAGCAGGGAAAATTCTCAGGGAAAAACCTCAAATGCTAGGCACATTATTAGTCCTTCCCTTTGTTTATTTTAAAACATTTTAACCCTCTTATCACAACGAGCCCAGGGTAAGATATAATACAACAGAACTAAAATACAATGTAACAGCAGCATAGTGATGTAAATCAGAGCAGAAAACAAAACAGCCAATAATGAATTTTAAGAGGGAGAACATTCCACAATTGGGGCTCTACAGTGGAGGCTGTTAAATGGGTTGCTGAATAGCAGATATCATACCTAAGTGGAAACATTAACAGGGCTCCCCGCCCCCCAGATTTTAATTCACCAGCAGGAGAGAAGGTACATATTTAGCTCTCAAGCTGTTTAGGGCTTTATAAATTAATACAAGCATCTTGCCTGGTAGCACATGGGTAGTCATTGTTGCTCCTTCAGGACCAGTGTTAACATCATCCTGGTATTCCAATCTACTCAGTAATAAAGTGGCTGCATTCTGCATAAGCTGCAGCTTCCAGACCAGCTCCAAGGGCAGCCCCATGCAGAGCACATTACAGTCATTTATCTACCTATCTGGGAGGCTTCCAGTGCACGAGTCACTGTGGCATGGCTATCCGTGTCCAGGAATGACTGTAGCCAACAAATCAGCCAAAGCTGTAACAGGCACTCCATCTTGTTGGAGTTCAGTCTCAGCTTATTCAGCCCACCATAGTATCCAAGCCCAATCAAGAACTTGTAGACTACACCTGAGTCAGATGCCAAGGAGAACAAAGCTGGGTGTCATCAGTGTATTGCTGGCACCCTGCCCTCAAATCCCTGATGGCCTCACCAGTTTCATACAGATGTTACATAGCATGGGAGACATGACTGTATGGTGGGAAATCTCACAGAGACCCAGCGGCTCTTCCTGAAGCCTACCTGCCTGAAATCCACCCTGCAGGTTGGAGTGGAACCACTGTGTCTTCTGACACCCAAGCCACAGAGCTGTTCTAGCGAAATACCATGGTTAATTATATCAAAAACTGCTGAGCAATCCAAGGGATGTTACTGAGCTTCATTCCTCCTTTTCTCCTAACAGAGGTCATCCATCTAAAGAGACCCAAGACCATTTTGGTTATGAAACTGGGCTGGAACCCAAGAATGGGTCTAGATAATCATCTTCATCCAAGAGCTGAAGTTCGGTGGCAACCACCCTCTTGAGCACTTATCCCAGAACATAGACCTTAGCGACTAGACAGTACCTATCACAGCATTTGGGTCCCCAAAGGCCAGTGTTGGTCAATCACATTTATGTCTGTTGACTGTAATTCACAAACCATACAGAGATGTTTGTGTAACCAATTTCGTGTGAAATTGAATTTCAGTTCAGGTGATTTTAGGATTTTTATAAAAGCAATGCAACACTTTTCTTCAGCTTATTGGTACACAATTAACACTATTTTCCCCTTAAAGTTTCCCATATGGATAACCCTGATAGTGAGATGGTGCTGTACTTAATGTTACGAGCTGTGGATAGATTCTTTAAACACCATGGGAGATATCCAGGTAAATTTGATTTTAATATTGCCCAGTTTGCAACACTGTTAGCAAAATATGTGTTTAGTACAATGGATAAATTGAATAAATTGAAAATTTCCTTAAGTGGCCCTAGGGTATAACCTTAATAATATTCTGTGTTCATAAATATATAGATTAATTGTGTGGTTGAGGCATATACCATTATTATGCCTCTATATATTTTACAAATTAGATTGCAGAGATTTAGTAAATCATTTTATTTTTTAAAAAAATATCTTCTCTTACAAAAATTATATCTATGTACAATTTTAAAAAATCATTTCCAGGTGCTTATAATTATCAAGTGGAAGACGACATTGGAAAACTGAAATCTTGCCTCAACAGTTTTCTTCAGGAATATGGATTACCTGTAACAGTGAAGGATGATTACGTTCATGAATTGTAAGTACTATATAAAATAAAAATAAAGTTTTCCTGGGTTTTGTTTTGGTATCACAAATTTTACAATGTTGTTTTTCCTGTGTAGTTGTCGCTATGGAGCTGCTGAGCCACATATGATTGCAGCATTTTTGGGAGGTAAGAAATACTATAATTTTAACCAGTTCTTCTCTAGCTGTACACTTATTAGCACGTGAAAAAATATTACAGCTTTATATTCTCTTTTTTAACACTAGTTTTAAAAATGATGTAAGAATAATAGAATCATAGATTTGTAGAGATGGAAGGTGCACAATGAAGTGTTCATTTTGAATTGTTTTTAAACCTACTTGTCAAAATTAAAATGTCTCTGGAATATATAGTATTTGGAATACATGCTATGTAGAATTCAAGATATGAGATAGTAGTGTATTTGATTCAGCCATGATAAAAACAATCTATATCATTTCCAAAACTGAAATATTTTCAATGTGTACACATTGTTCAAGGTAAGAAACATGTTGTAGACTCTGCTTTAATGTGACTACAGATATTATTTAACAAGGTTCATGGATTTTGCTATATGCTGCTTTGAAGAGTCTATATATAAAGCAGTATATAGAATGTCCTAAAATTAATAAGTTGTTTGCTCTCTACCACTGAGTTAAGTTGGTTATGGGAATTGTTATGCTCTATTTTCAGTTCACTGGCATAAAGTGGCAGTTGAAGAAAAACAATTTTGTATTGCATCAATTGAGTTATGAAGTTCTAACTTTGTTCCTTCCTCTTCCAATTCCCCTGCTGTTTTACAGGAGCTGCTGCTCAAGAGGCTGTGAAAATAATTACAAAACAATTTGTCATTTTTAATAACACCTACATTTACAATGGCATGTCACAGACATCTGCAACATTCAAGTTATAGGCTAAGCACAGTACATTGTTTAAAACTGTGGTTGCATTTAATTTGCAGTTTGTTCTGTAAATGATTGCTGCTATATTTGCTGCCAAGTTCCCTTCTTTGTAATTTTTCCCGATTATTAAATGTTCTTTTGAACTGTAATAAATATTTTTATCTTGTATTGTAATAAGAGGCAATGGAATAGGTTGACTGTCATCACTATCAGCATCGTATTAGTTTAGATGTAAGCAGCATTTTTCTTCTGTGCTATTGGGAGTGGGACCCAATACAGACCATTGCTATTAGCCTGCTCATATCACTCCGAAAAGTGTTTCTTAACCTATGTGTTAAATAAATACCTCTTTGAAGCAAATGTACAGCAAATAATATGGAGTGTTGTTTTCAATGTAAGCTGCTTTTGTTCAGAAAGAGGATTTTTAAAAAAACAATGAGTACACTAACGCACAATGCACCTTTGAATATTATTAATATATTAAACTATGAACAAGATTTAAAGCATTCTGGAAGAGAATGTGTATTAATAGCAATTTTAGAAACTGCTGTTCTTGGTCTTCCCAATATATTTGTTTGACTGCTTCTGCTCCTTTACTGATAGTAATAGTTCAGTTGTTAGTATCTTTAATGTTGCTGGGGAAACATTAAATATGTTTTCCTGGGATTAGTTGAAAGACTTGGACTTGAAGATGGTTTGTACAAACATACGTGATCATGTTAGCATTGGTTCCAGTGAATTAGAGCAGACTGTTCAAGAATTGGATTTATTGGCAGTGGGGAATCATACTTGGTAGGTACATTGGTGTTACTTTGTACAAGAGGAGGTACCCTAGTTTAAGATTGTTCTAAACTGCCCTGAGGCTCCATGGGATCAAAGGTAAGTTTGATTTTAGTTCTAGTGCAGGCCCTCCAGATGTTTTGAGACTACAATTCCCAGCATCCCTGACCACTGGTCCTGCTAGCTAGGGATCATGGGAGTTGTAGGCCAAAAACATCTGGAGGGCCAAGGTTGAGAAAGCCTGATCTAGTGTTGATGTAAGAGTACATATTATTCACTACCCAATTTACAGCCAGGCAAAAACAAGGAAATACAGTATATGATTTGGGATAATCCCTTCCATGGGTTTAATGTCAATTTTGAAACAGCATTCTAGGAAGGGGCTCGTGCATGTAAGCCAAACAGTGATTTGGTGCTGTGGCATGCTGGACATGTCAACTATAGCTAATAGTATTGGCTCTGTTAAAGCAAAAGGCATACTAAGTAGGTAAAATGAAATGTTTTATTTGGTGAGCAGGTTTCTATGAGATTTTAATATTTACCATCTGCTTGCAGTTCCAGTGCTTTGTGTGAATTGAACTTATCACTGTTGCAGAGGTGGCTCCTTTGTGTTCACATATGGATTTTTATCACTTGGTGTTTAAAATAAATGTGTGAAAACAACCCAATAAAGATCAAAGCTTGTGGATTGCCTCACCCTGCTTTTCAGTGGAGGCATTTTCATGTGTGATCTTTGTTCATGTGAATTAGGCACCTTTGTGCATGTGCATGCATTACTTGTACACCTTATTTTTCATGGACAAACCAATACAGCTGGATGGCACATTAATTACTTCCTCACCAACTAGTAGACCTGGAAGTCTGACCTGAGGTGAAATAATTCCCATATTTAAAATACACCTCTGAAGTGACCCCCTTCCTGAAAAAAATATGTGGGGTGACTTTGTGGTTTTAAAATACTGGAAAACAGGTGTTGATTTTACAGGCTTAGATCCAGAGCTGGATTCTAAAACTGCACCACTCCATGCCTCTTGAAGCTCAATAGTAGGGCATGAAACTTATGGTAAATGTTATTGATGGGGAGGGAACACAAACAATTTTTTTAAAAAAATAATGGCACAGGCTAGCAAGTAAAATGAACAATTTACATTCTGACACCTTGATCCTAAACCTCAGCATTGAAAGTTAAGCTTCAGGGGCATTTCCAGTGAGTGTTCAGAGGCAGGATGAGAACTACCCTGGGACTTTTATCCCCCAAGACTAAGGTTACCAGATGTCCCCGTTTCCTGGGGACAGTCCCCGGATTTACAAATCAATCCCCTGACAAAATCCATCTATTTAGTAGGAAATTGAAAAGTGTCCCCGGATTCACTGAAAAAAATCTGGTAACCTTACCAAAGACATTAAATATGGAGTAAGACTGAGGTGTGGGGAGAGAAGGGAAACCATTACTCTTGAGTTTTGGGGACTAAATGTAGGCTAAAAATTGAATCTAGCTAATTCTATGCTGGTCCTTCTGAAATGTGACCTACTTTGTAACAACGGTAGGGGTGTGATTAGAGGTGTGGCAGGTTTACTAAGAAGAAAAACTAGCTCTGTCCTATGGGCTCAAGGAGGTTCCAATGTTTCATTTCTGACTTTTTTTGGTCTCTTAGTGTGTGTACTACACATGATATTTTGTACTAACGTGATTTTGATTTGTACCCATTTACATCTCAGAGCATTCCCAATCTCCCAATTAAAAAAAAATTAATCTAGATGAGAGTGCTGACTGCAGAAGAGTCTCTTGGAGAGTCTGACCCAGGCATCCCCAAACTCTGCCCTCCAGCTGTTTGGGAACTACAATTCCCATTATCCCTGACCACTGGTCCTGTTAGCTAGGGATGATGGGAGTTGTAGTCCCAAAACAACTGGAGGGCCGAGTTTGGGGATGCCTGGAGCCTCTGACCCCTCAAGTCTCAAGAGATGAGGATGCCACCAGAAAAGTAATACTGAAGAAGAAATAGCCATGAAGCACGTTTTGAGGTGAAGGGTGTTCCACACCTTTTAAGATTTCTGAAGGGAAAAACAGTAGTATATTTTATATGATAGGTCATTCCATCCTACACGCAAAGTACACCTCATCGGACTTGTGAAGCCTTAAGTCGTATACAGTGGTACCTCAGGTTAAGTACTTAATTCTTTCCGGAGGTCCGTTCTTAACCTGAAACTGTTCTTAACCTGAAGCACCACTTTAGCTAATGGGGCCTCCTGCTGCTGCCGCGCTGCCGGAGCACAATTTCTGATCTCATCCTGAAGCAAAGTACTTAACGCGAGGTAATATTTCTGGGTTAGCGGGGTCTGTAACCTGAAGCGTATGTAACCTGAGGTACCACTGTATATAGGTTTGTACGGGTTTTTTTCTCTCCAGTAAAGCATGTTTCGGACTGCAGCCTCAGTTTAATATCCAGCTCATGATTTGGTTATGCCAAGTGTTTTATTTCCCTAATCGGAGGCGGCCCACCAGCTGGAGAGAGTGAAGCCCGCTTGGCCCAGGTGGGAGCGCTCAGCTCCAAAGGAAGCAATGAAGCCGAGGCTCGCCGCCGCAGCTGAGGCAAACCGTGCCGGGGGAAGGGGGTAATAAATGAGGCGGCGCTCGCTCGGGCTGAGCGGCTCCTTCGCTCGCCCACCACCTCTCCTCACAAGCGGAGTTTCATTTAGGCGGGAAAAACTCGGCCGGTGAGTTTTCAGGTTTAGCCGCCCGGGGGGGTGGGGGGTGGCCGGCGGCGTTTGCGAGGAGAAAGGAGCGAGTATCTCCTTTTACTGAGCGGAGTGTCGTCGCCTTGGCTGCGAAAAGGAGAAGCCTCTTCTGCTTAGAGGGGCGCCGCCAGTGCTACGATAGTGATGTGTCAGGGCACGTCTTCCCCCCTCAACCTGGGACGCCTTTTGAGCGTAACGGCAGGTTCATGGGCGTACATTTAGGGGGACCCCTAAATCAAGTAAATAAATAGAAATTCTTGGCAACTGACTAATTGCGTGGCAGATAACTCGGTTCTGCCCCCCCCCATCCCAGATAAATCCTGACTATGCCCATGGGCAGGTTCCTGTCAGAAAGGGGAAAAGGAAGAAAGTCGCTGGCACTTTCTTGCTCCTTCCCTGCTAAGTATTCGTTTATTTCCTCGCATTTAAAAGCACCACGAATAAATATAAAAGATAGAATTGCAATCCCATGTTATTCCATACAGCATTCTTATGTGAATTATAAATCTGCACATCCTTAAAGTGCCAGAAGACATGGCTGGTTGTTTTTTTTTGCTGCAGAGGACTTTTCATAGCTACCCTTCTGAACATGTTTTTATTATTTTTGTGTTTCAGAGAATTGTAGGGTTGGAAGGGACCCCCAACCCCCATCTAGTCCAACCCCCTGCAATGCAGGAATATTCACTTATTTGTTTTGACCCCACCCACCACACACAAGGCAATGTGTATATGGGTTGCCTCACTTCAGAACAAGCCTCTGAAGCAGGTCAGGCTGAGAGACGACAGGCTTCTCTCAGATAGATGAGTGAAGAATTAGTAAACTTCATGGTCAATCAGTTATAAATCTTAAAGTCATTAAGTTCAGGAACACAAGAGCTTAACTTGAGAACGTTCTCAAGATGGTACATGAATCCAGTTAGAGTAACAAAAAAAAGTTTGATTGTTTATTGTAAAAGTTATTGTTATCATTTAAACCTCAATAATATGGAAGTAACCTCTGCTCTTCAAACACTTATACCATAAATAAAACAGACCCTCTGTTCTTTTTCTTGGTGACTGATGGACACTCCCCCCATGCAACGAAATGGTTACTGTCTCTGTAAAATATGTTGCACTTTATTTATATTTAATATTGTGGAGGTAATATGCTGTACAAACTCAGGAGATTAAAGTTTGTTTTTGCCAGCTCTTGTTCTTCATGGTCTTCAAAATAATTACAACTTTACTTGCCAGTGGGTTGGGCAAAGACACTAGTTCCAGAAGTTTAACAGAAACTTTTAGAAACTATTTGTTTCTCTCAAAACACTCAATAAAGATGCTAATAATCTCAAATTTGTTTCTAGATTAGTAGATTTAATGCCACTCTAGGTTCATATGGACAGAAGGGTGGGGAAAAATTTAATACAGTAAATAAAATTATCTATTTGCAGTATGTGCTAATTAATTTGGAGTAATTCCTCAGTTTGGTTCTAAACACTGATAAACTAGATGTGCCACACCATCCATGAAGGGTGAATAAAAATTATTTACTTTTCATCTCTTCGTATATTATGCATGCATGTTAGGTGATCTTGAGTATGTTGTGCTCCTGTAGAAGTGGTAATCAACATTAATACAAATGTTAGATTTTATTAAACTGAATTTACTTTCCTTAATTTTCTTTTTAAAAATCCAAAATTGTGCTTTGATAACAGAGACAGTGAACAACCGCCCCTCCTCTGTTTTGCAATTAAAGGCTAAGGAAAATAATACAGTCAAAATGGAAAATGGAAAAGATCAGAAAATACCATGTGGTAAATATGCCAAAATTATTTTATATCCATGCTACTTTTCATTATTTTAGCAGTCTGCAAGGCTAATCTTCAAATGGAAGTAAGAAAAAGATACAGTCTTTTGCAGAGATCCAAGCACCTGATGTTGGAGATGTCCTTCTGCTTAGAACTGACTGACTCCACTGACATATGTCACTGAGAAACCCCATAAATGAGGAGTGCTCAATGTGCTCACCTAACTGGTGCTAGCCAGTGGAAACTCCCAAAATGTGGTTTTGGGGGCTGGGAAAGGGGGCTGGGCTGGGCTGGGCTAGCACAGATTCTACTGGACTCTTGAGCCAGCTCTGTTGGGATTGCCCAAGGGTAATGGGACTCTGGCTGTTAATTAATCAGCAGTTTTAATTGTGTATGAAAATAAAATTTATGTAAAATAATTTGAAAAACTATTTGCTTTATCCTTATAGAGATGAAAACTGATCTGAATTTACTACTTGAATGTCTAAAATATCAAATGGAACATCCTACTACTCAGAAAGAGGCATTGGTTACTATTTATTCGGCCTGTCAACAAAACAGTAAGATGTTGAGTTCTAGTTGCATTGCTCCATGTTTTATTAAAATATATTCCTTTAAAAGTTGACACTTTCCCCATTGTTTCTGTCTTTTCTAGGTGATGCAAGTGATTATTTTCGAGAAATAGGTGGTTTGATGTTTGTATATAACCTTGCAAAGTCAAGTGTGCACAGCATGGTAAAGGAAGCTGCCTTCTTTACATTAGGAGGTTTAGCTGAGAATAATGGTAATGCACAATTGTATTCTTTTCATATCATTATATTATCACATTTGAAGATACTAAGTTTTCGTGTTTTGCTTCATTTTTTCAAAAGACTATAGTTTTCAAGTACATATACTAACAACAAAGGCTTAAATTTGACTCTGTAGCAAAATGGCAATGAGTGCAGCTTCTTCAATAGGTGCATTACATGCTCCCCTTTCAACCTACCCATGGCATTCTGAACTAGCTGCAGCTTCTGAAGCAATCTTAAGGGCAGCCCCACATAGAGCACATTGCAGTAATCCAATACTGAGGTTACGAATATATAGCTTCCTGTGGTCAAGCTGTGCTTATTCAGGAACAGGTGCACCAGCCAAAACTGGTAAAAAAACACTTTTAGGCTGTGTTCACATTGCCACCTTCAGTGACGTTCTTCCCCCATTTCCTATGCATTTCACAGCTCTTTCCCTACAAACTGTTCACATCAGTGCAGTTTCATTCATTTATGGGTTGATGGTGCAGGGATTCTTTACCTTATGCTAAAGTGTTCACATCCTGGCTAGGGATGAATTAGAAACATCTTAAGGACTCTAATCAGCAGGAAGTTGGTTTGAGAAACAAAACTGAAAACAGCAGACAAGGCTATGGCAACAATGCTTCTAAATACCAGCTGTGGGAAACCCACAGGAAGTCAAAAATGCTCTTGTGCTTGGGTCTTGCTTGCTGGTTTTCCTCAAGCATCTGGTTGGCCACTATGAAAACAAGATGCTGGACTAGGTGGGTAATTGGCCTGGCACAGCAGGCTCTGCTTATTTTCTTACGTTCATGAGTGGAAGTTTGGGATTGGTTCCGCCAGTGTGCCTGCATCATTTTGACCTCCCTGCCGCCTTGTCCCTTCCCCTCTTGGTAAGCAGTGGCAGCACTCTTGGCAGGAAGCTAGCACTGAGGCTCTGCCCCACCAGGGAGGATGCCTCTGTCTATAGAGTCTCCATCTTATCAGGATTCAGTCTTCATTATCACACCACCACATCCAAACATCAGTTAAAGGCTTGTACGTTCAGATAATATAGAGAAACGGAGATGGGTGTCATCAGTGTACTACAAATAACCACTTCCAGTGGGATCATTTAGATTTTGAACAGCACTGGGACAAGTTGTGTATAAATGTCTCGCCCCCACTGTTACGTATGTTCCTTAAGTGTCCCCTGCTCTGAGCTTCACCCACCTTGTAGCCAAAAGATATTTTGGCAGTCAGTAGAAATAGGTCAGTGTCTATACAAAAGAAGAAATGGACACAACTCTGTCATTAAAATGGCAACATTGCATTTTTTAATCTCCAAGGGCTACTATTATTTGAATCCCTCTCCCCCAACAGACTGATACAGATACCTACAATTATTGTAGAATTTATAAGAAAGTTTGATTCTGTTTGCTTTATTAAATTTAATGTAATATAACACATAAATTTCTCAGAGGAATATCTATTTTGTTTCAGTATTCTGCCAACAGACGTTATGCACTTCTGGATCATTTGAAGACCTTTACAGGCACCTAACTAATAACGATTCCAGTGTGAATTTGAAAAGAATGTCTGTTTATTTCTTAATAGCACTGGTTTCAAATAACAGTAAGTCCCTCCCCCCACTGCATGTAAGGAAATTGCAGTTACACACACAAAAACACAATTTAAATTATGATGAGTAGCCTCCAGATGAATATTAACTGCAATTAGGTCAATTAGACTTACATTCACAGAAATGTGCTTATAAATCCTATTGCTAGAGCCAGAGCCAGTGTGGTGTAGTGGTTAAGAGTGGTAGTCTCGTAATCTGGGGAACCGGGTTCGCGTCTCCGCTCCTCCACATGCAGCTGCTGGGTGACCTTGGGCCAGTCACACTTCTTTGAAGTCTCTCAGCCCCACTCACCTCACAGAGTGTTTGTTGTGGGGGAGGAAGGGAAAGGAGATTGTTAGCCGCTTTGAGACTCCTTAAAGGGAGTGAAAGGTGGGATATCAAATCCAAACTCTTCTTCTTTTTTCTGCTTAAGGTACTTAAGCAAGTTTAACTACTATATTTTCTAAGGATATGTTCAGCTTTAGCAGTGCATAAATCACTATGGTCTATATATTTCATGTATTACATTTTAAGTTTAGCCGCTATTCCATACTCAGGGCCCCTGCAGACATGTGATTGATTGTAGGTGTGTTCAGCAACATATCCTTGACCCAATAAAGTGCATTACTGGTTGATTTATTCTGCTTTAGTTTTTTCTGAGATGCTTCCCCAATGCTACCATGCTGTGTACACGCTATACCTTTTCCCCACAAAGAATTCTGGGTACTGTAGTTTATCCCTCACAAAGTAAGATCACTTATGACCACCCTGCTAGCATCATGAGCACAAATTGTCATGAATGCACAATAAAAAGTGTCTATAGAGGCCCTCAGTGACAAGTATGTTTCATACCACATAATGTGGTATGAAACAGTGAAACAGTTCTAAGATTTCACTGAATTACTGATTGCATGATATTTGAAATACTTCATATATTTTATTTTAAATCTTTACATGCCAAAATGTGGTCATTTTATAGGGCGTGGGCAGATGTGTGCGAGAGAGTCTGGTTGCCTTAATGCTCTGCTTCAGTTATTCAGGTAAGTAATAAAGCAAGAATGATGTACTAAACTGAAAATTCCTCCGCCAAGCTTTAATTGCTATTTGTTATGTTTTTGTTTTAATTTCCTAACAGAACAAGTCTTTCAGTATGTGATGTGAAACTTTTGGATCAAAAAATTAACGAATATCATCTGTGGTCTTCAACTTGCAGTGCTCTCTGTGCAAGTGTAAATAATCCCCAGAATGGTAAATTTTTTTGTTAAACATTTCCTTTCATTATTTGTTTGATGACAGTGAGGAAAAATACAAGTATTTTTCAATGCAGATCTAAGTGTGTCATTGTTTTGTCACCAACAGAGGAGAATCAGAAATTTTGCAGTTTGGTTTTTCCTCATGCAAAAGACTGGCTGCAAAGTAGTATAAAGCCTGAGATAGTTCGCCCAGTATGTTCATTCATTGGGCTCACAGTTGCAAATAACTGTAAGTATCTATTGTAACAGCACATTATTTTTCAGTGAAAAGCCTGCTGGGATTTCTTTTGCCATTTCTAGTGCTTAATTTCATGCATCTTCTGCACAGAAATAGGGCAACTACTTTGGTGATATTATCATCTTCAAATTCTAGAACTTTCAGTGGAGCCAGGTATTGCTTTAAAGAGAGGAGGGCAGGGCTTTTCCATGGCACAGTGAGTTGACACATCCTCTCTAGCTTGTATTGCATTTTCTAGAAATCACTATATATTCATTTGTTAAAATAGTAAATATATATATGTTGCCTTTCTACCAAAGCATTCAGGGCAGTTTAGAGTTTAAAATAATGGCTTTCAGTCTTGATACAAAACAGAGAACTCAGAGGAAAAACAGTACATTCAGGTACCAGCTCTTTATATAATAACCAGCTGTTATATAATAACAGACCTTCCAAGTGTTCCTATTTTCCAGAGACAATGCCGGATTTACAGAAGCCGGCAGAATGTCCTGCTTTTTCCTTAGGATGTCCCTATTTTTATCAGAGAAATTTTGGAGGGCATGGAATTACCTGACCTCCGAGTCATCTGAAGGCAACCCTGTATAGGGAAGTTTTAAAATGTTCAATGTTTTATTATGTTTTTATATACGTTGGAAACCACCCAGAGTGGCTGGGGCAACCCAGTCAGATGGGTGGGATGTAAATAGTAAAATTATTATTATGGAATAAGACGTCCCTATTTTCATCTGAGAAATACTGGAGGGCTTGTAATAACCAGATGGAATAGTTGCTGCAGGAAACAATTTGAGGAAGGGATGAATTGAGATCATGCTAAAAGTAATTTTTGTGAATAATTTCTCTTAAAATTAATTTACAAAAGTTTTCTTACATTGAGTCAGAGCACTGATCTGTCTAGCTCAGTATCATCTACATTGCATTGGAGTGTCTCCAGGATTTCAGACAGGGGTCCTTCCCAGCCCTACCTGGAGATGCTTGGGATTGAACTGGAGACCTTCTGCATTTGACAGAAAGCCTGGAGAACTTTAGCTTAAAGCAAACTATGAGCAGGGGCGCCGACTTGTAAAAAAATATTGGGGGGGCCCAAGTGGCGTAGCGTGGGTTGTCAGCACCCGGGCAAGGCAAGTAATTTGCGCCCCCTAACCCGTGGATTTTAGCACTTGAGTGCGAGCGCCCCCCCCGATGTTGCGCCTGGTGCGGCCGGCCCCCCTGCACCCCCCAACGCTACGCCACTGGAACAGCTAAGGGAGCTGGGCATGTTTTAGCCTGGAGAAGAGGAGGTTAAGGGGTGAATATGATAGCCATGTTCAAATATATTAAAAGGATGTCATATAGAGGAGGGAGAAAGGTTGTTTTCTGCTGCTCCAGAGAAGCGGACACGGAGCAATGGATCCAAACTACAAGAAAGAAGATTCCACCTAAACATTAGGAAGAACTTCCTGACAGTAAGAGCTGTTCGACAGTGGAATTTGCTGCCAAGGAGTGTGGTGGAGTCTCCTCCTTTGGAGGTCTTTAAGCAGAGGCTTGACAACCATATGTCAGGAGTGCTTGATGGTGTTTCCTGCTTGGCAGGGGGTTGGACTCGGTGGCCCTTGTGGTCTATTCCAACTCTATGATTCTATGATTCTATGAGGCTGTGTCAGATAGGGTGGAAATTTCATCCTTTCTGTCCCTCACATGGGAAACCGAAAAACACCCTCTCAGAATTAACTAGGGACCAGGATTACCAAAGCCCCATTCTCCCTGCAACCGCTTGGGTATCTGGTGGGCACCCAGTGAAATTATTTCCAACCACAAAGTCCAATACAAAGTATTTTTGTGGTAGGGAAGGAGTTTCAGCTTTGCCTTGTGGGCTGTTCCTCCAAGCTGTCTTTGCGGTGCGTAACAGCCTGGAAGAGAATCAGCGAGAGGATCTTTAGAATTCAGTGCAAATTGAATTTCACCGGAATAGCTCGGAGGTGCTGGCAGCCCGCTTCCCTCCCCCCCACCCCGCTTTTTCGTTTTCTAAACAAGTGATCGGACTCTTCCCCTCCCCTCAGCCCCATGAAACAAGTCCCCAGCGCGAAAAGAAATAATAATTAAAAAAAAAAGAAGATAACAAGGACGGGTTGTTTTCCAGAGCGAGGTGGAAGCCGCCCATCGCAAGGGCAGAATCTCTGCGGTGCGTAATTACGCGCGGCTTGGAGAGCTCTTTCCCCCCCATTACCCGGGCCCTAGCAGTGCCCGCGGCAAGGTGAGGTTCTCCCTCTCCGGCAGGCGCCTCTGCGCGCCTTCACCCCATTCTCCAGCCCCGCCACATCTGGGAACATCATTAAGGAGTCACCTCTGCAGCTCAGGAAGTTTTCACACTTCACGTTTCATTAAACGCAGGTCTTCTCGGATTCCTTGGGAAAGGGAGAAGCGGGAGAGAAAGGGGAGAGGCGCTGGGCGCGGGTCGGGGGAGAGTGCCTGATTTGCAGCTGTTGGGCTTTCAAAGCCAAATAAAACGGCCAGTCTGCGGAGCGCAGCCGCAGCGGCGGTGGGGGGCGCGCGGGCGCTAGGGCGCAAGGCTGGCGGTGGCGGCGGGGAGCCCGGCGGAGGAAGGAACTTGTCCCTTCCCTCTGGACTCGCGCCCCCCGCAGATGTTGCGCCCGGTGTGGCCGGCACCCCTGGCACCCCCCACGCTACGCCACTGGGGGGGCCCATACCGGGGTCCTGCCCCGGGAAGTTTTCTAAGTTCCCCGCCGGGCGGGGCCGCTGCAGAAGGGTGAGTGGCGAGGGCGGGACGGGGCCGCGCGCTCCTTTCCTCGGCTGTCCTCGTTGCGCGCCTTGGCTCCCGCGGCCGGCGAGGGGAGCCCGGGCCGCGCGCGGCTGCTGCTGCCGCCGCCGCCTCTCCTGGGGGCGCCGCCTCCCCGGGCGGGAACGCTGCGGGTGCGCGAGGGAGGAGGGCGGCCCCCGGGGGCTGGGAGAGCCGGGCTGCCGTGGCCGAGAGGGCTGCTCTGCCGGGCGCCGCTGAATATAACTAATAATTTTCTTAAATTATTGGGGGGGCTGAGCCCCCCAATAAAATTTTTGAGGGGGCTCGGGCCCCCTCAGGCCCCATGGAGTCGGCGCCTATGACTATGAGAGAAGCATGACTGGTAATTGTTATGGTTTGTTTTTGTTTCTTCAAGCAAGAATGCAGCAATTTTTTGTTTCTGTTGGTGGATTAGCTGTTTTGGATGAGCTTCTTGTGAAATTGAGACACAATTCACTTGCAAGCACGAAACTTGCCGTAGTGGTGACAAAAACGATTGATGCCTGTATTGCCGATAACTGTGAGTGAACAGATTGAAATATCTTTCTATATAAATATCTTATCAGAAAGTGAAGCTTGTAAGGGTGCATCCAGGCTTTAGTTAGGTCCATGCCTCCCTATATGATTAGTTACTCTCAGATCATTCATTACTTATATTATCAGGATCTGCCTTGGCTTCTGACTTTATTTATTAACATGACAAACATTAAATATCATCAAAATAAGTTAAGGATCCTGCAAGAAGAGGAAGGGAGTTGCAAGTTCTTCTAATTCCCAGTCCTCACAAATCTTGTAGTTAAGTGTTGTACCTGGTATTGGATGAAAGCTTGAGATAACTGGAAGAAAGGATGGGACAGGCGTTCTATAAAAGTATGTTTCTTTACTGCATGTTGAGTTTAATGGGTGTTTTTTCCTTTTAAATTTATTTTGTACCAATAGCTGCTGTTGGAATTAACCTGCCAAGGTATAATATTGTGCCAAATCTCCTAACACTGCTTTCTTACAAACATCTGGATCCGGGAGAAAAAAATAGTATTATACTTACCCTTGGACATTGTACAGATGGCTGCGGTAGGATACTGGTTCTGTCTTTCTTAAATTGAACATGTTAGATGTTGCATTCAAATGCAGTTTGTATTAGAATTCCAGAGCACAATTACTGTGCTTAATCATAACCTATGAAGATACCAAACCTGATGTTGCTAGAGTAATGCATGATTAGTTTTAACAAGCTGTTTTATCCCTCATTGAAATAAAATAACAAATAAAAAAAATCATCACTTTGAAACTTACTACATTTAGGCTGCAATCCTATATCTACTTACCTGGGACTAAGCCCCATTGAACTCAGTGAAACTTACTTTTTAGTAAACATGGTTAGGTTTGTACTATAAATAGGATTATGATTAGGCACCTTTTTCATTAGTGGCTATTTCTAGTGCAGGATCTAGGAACTTCTACAAAATCCTGATAATCAACTGTCAAAGCCAAGTTAGAGTTATTAGTGGTAGCTAAGTATAAACTTCTGCTTTAACACTGAAGCCTTAAAAAGGCACCATGCAATATTTCCATTAAAACTAATAGGACAGATTCATGTAAATGAAGTCACACTACAGCATGTTACTGAGCGTATGCAAATAAGCTAGATATGACTAACTGAAGTTGGGCTGAAAATTCAATATAACTTTATCCCATTGTAATTTTATTGCTTATTCTTCCAAATATGATAAGAGGTACTATTATAACTGTACAGTTTGGACAAATATGTTCCAAGAAACTAATGGTCTTTTTTTTTTTTAGAGGAAAATCAATTTGCTCTGGTCAAGAACAATGGCCTTCCACTTATGATTCAGGCACTAACTGAATCGCAGGATGAAGAACTAAATAAGGCTGCCACCTTTGTGCTGCAAAATTGCAAACAGATCAGTAAGATTATCATGATTTTCATTACTGTCTTAAAAAACTTATAGGGCAGATTTGTGAATATCTTCTTGCCCATTAGCCACTTGCCCATTTGCTTTGTCTGCAAAATTTCCTATTTCACCCAGGTTAGAGATCATCAACTTCTGTTCTATGATTCCCTACCCACTTTCTTCTACTTGTTAATTTGATCTCTTCTTGCTTCCATCTTCCCTTGATGAAGCAGAAATATTAATGAAGGAAGTATGTCTGGGGCTGTATTTGTATAAGGTCCTTTATACTGCAGAGAGATGTAAAAGGCAAAATAAAACACATCTTAAATAAGTCACTCTCATTGGGAGCCAATATTTTAAGACTTTGGCATGTAGCATGAAATATAATTTTGTTTTTATAAAGCCAGCTTACCTTGCCTTATTCTAACTTTTCCTAAAGCTGAGAAGTTGTCACTGAAGTTAGGAAAACATTCATTAAAACTAGATGATGCAGAACAGTTGAAGGTTGATTGGCAGAACAGAGAGATGATCCTTGAAGACTACTGGGACAAAGCCAAAGAAATTTTACGTAGAATCGAAGGACTTGAAAATGACCAACAACAGGTGGTTCTTTGTTTTTTGGGTTATTTTTTTTAAAAAAATAAGAACGGATGCAGTATGTTAAAAACAGAGGAATAGTTCTATGCAAGAAAATGGTGTCTGAGTGAATTATAAAAAGGGAAGCATAAGTAAGTTTGTGTGGTTTTTTTTAATCCCCCCCCTATTTTCCTGTGGTGGAAGGAGGATATCATCATCTGGGTTATTCTTCCCAGTCAGTCCAGAAGGTAGGGCTAGCAAAAACAGGTTTATGGTATGCCTTCTGTGGGGAATAGCACCTTTTTCAAGCTTCCATCCTGTCCTGGCTTCACTTTTTAGCTAAAGATATTTTTTTCTATTCTAGTATTCCTAGCTTGTGTAAATTCACAAACATGACCATTCTTTGTTATGCAAACATATTTCAGTTACCGTACTTATAGTACTTCAGATAAAATATCCTACCCACCTGTAAAATTATTGCTCCCCCATCTTCAGCCACATAGTCATGGTGATTCAACATGAACTTCTGTGATCACATGCTTTCCCTCAGTAATTTAATTCCAGTTATTTCCAGTAGTGAATTATTAATTTTTAAAAATATTTTAATTTGATCGGTGAAGGTTAGGATATCACAGGAAGAAACATCTTCCTTATCTGTTTACACATTCTGAAATGCTTTGGAATGCTAAGTCTTGTTTGTGTTGGATGATTCCTTAGGTTTCATTATTTTTATGCCCCAGTCTTGTTTTTATGCAGTATTTTCAGCTGCTTGTTTTGAAGGGACTTGAGCATGAAAAGACAACAACAACAATTTGACCTGAATTTGACAAATACTTCTTGCTTCAAAGTATATATGCAGTAATATTAAAATTGTGGAACCAAAATGCAATTGTCAAAACAAGAACTGAGTTCAGCAAATTAAAATTGACTTCAATTTAAAGGAAACTTCAACAGGAAAAATACATACCTGAAATGTTAAATAAGATTAGGAAAGAAGTAATGGGGTGTGAGTGATGTTTTCATTCTAATCCACAAAGTTTGGCTTTTACGACTAGGTATGAAACTAGGTCAAGTCAACTCCCTGAGTTGATCATCCCTGCCTTGAACCTTCAATATAAGTAGCCATGTTTTTCCACCCTCCCCCACCCACTGGATGTATTTTGTATGACCTTCAATTGCTATTTTTTTAAACACAGAAAAAAGTGAGAAGACAAATATTAATTGATGATATTCCCAAAGAAGTGATCCTGCAGACTACCCCTATGCATCTTAAAGAAAATGAAAGCAAGCCAAATTCAAGTGACATAACACATACAGAAGTGAACCAACAATTACTAGATTCTATGTCTGCTAAACCGATTGCTACTAAATTTGCAAAAGACTATTCAAAGAATGAATTTCTAAAGCCTGTCAATAGGAATCCAACTGATGCATCAGTCAGTCGAAATGAACTTAATCTTCATGCAGCTGATAAAATGAGGACACCCAACATGACCCACCAACATAAACATATTACAGATAAAAACACTGTTGGTGAATCTAGCAAGTCTGAAGTACAACTAAGGTATTGTATCTTGGATCCTACATACAATTTTAAATTGATACTTTTAAATCCTGATTGTGAATTAAATTAGCAAACTGCATTTAATATTATTAAACTTTGTCATGAACTCTAATGGACTGAAATTCCATCTAGAATATATAGGGAGCTGTAGACCTCTTTCAAAATGAAGCCTTTTACTTTCAGCTTTTGAACTTCTTCATGGCTACTGAATAGCCTCATGTGTGGAAGCTACCCTGAGAATTTTTATTTGAAGCGAAGTGTAAGAAAATGATTTATATCCGTTAAATGCAGGCAATAAATAAAATTATCCCAAGCTTCAATGTGGATATGAAACATGCCCCCCTTTCCCTGGTTAGCATTATTCACTGCAGTGCAATGTGGGAAATTGTGGGGGTCGAGAAGCATGATACAACACAATGAAATATATATTAGGTCAAGTTTTAAGAATGTCTTTCTTATCCTTTTAGTGAATTATTGTGTAAACAGACAGATATTGCAGGTAAAAGAAGAACTCAGCTGGTACAAAATACAGGTAGGTACTGTTAATCAAAAGTGTTCAATTTCTGACATTTTACTAAGTTGATCGTTGTTAGAAATTAGTTTATTTTAAACTGGATGAAAAATAAGCACATATATATCTTTACCATATACCATACTTAGTGGCTGCATTTGCACATCATGCTAAGCCTTGGGCTTGTGCACTTGGTCCCTTCTCTCCTCTCCTGCATAGCCAAAAGAAGCAGTCAAAATCTTTTGCTTTTTACATTTGGTTAAAAGTGGTTTGTTGTGTTGGTTGGAGCAACATACTGTGATTCATAAAACCATAGAGTCAGAAGGCATCCTGAGGCTCATCTAATTATCCACCTGTATCCCTACAATGCAGGAAGCTCAACTAAAGCATCCATGACAGATGGCCATCCAACTTCTGCTTAAAAACCTCCAACAAAGGAGCGTCCACAACTTCCCAAGGGAGTCCATCCCACTGTTGAACAGCTCTTATGTCAGAAAGTTCTTCCTGATGTTTAGTCAGAATCTCCTTTCTTCTAACTTGAAGACATTGGTTCAGGACTTCAAGCTTGCTCTGTCCTCTATGTGACAGCCCTTTAGATATTTGAAGATGGCTATCATATCTCCTCTTATGCAGACTAAACATACTCAGTTCCCTCAACTGTTCCTCATAAGGCTTAGTTTCTAGACCCTTGATCATCTTGGTTTCCCTCCTCTGTACACATTCCAGCTTATCAATATCCTTCTTAAATTGTGGTGCCCAGAACTGGACACAGTACTCCAGTTGCTGTCTGACCAAGGCAGAATAGAGAGGCACTATTACTTCCCTTGATCTGGACACTAGCTTTTTTTTACTGCTGCATCACACTGTTGATCATGCACCACACATGTTAATCATGTGGTCTATTAAGACCCTTAGATCCTTTTCACAGTTGTCCATCTTATATTTGTGCATCTGGTCATTAGAACCTTACATTTGTCTCTCTTGAAATTCATAGCCCAGTTCTCCAAACTGTTACAGTCATCCTGAATTCCGATTCTGTCTTCTGCAGTGTTAGCTACCCCTCCCAGTTTGGTGTGTCTGCAAATTTGATGAGCATCTCCTCAGTACCTTCATCCAGGTTATTTATAAATATGTTGAACAACAATGGGCCTAGGACAGAACCCTGTGGCATCCCTCTTGTCACACTTTTCCGAGGATGATGAGGAACAATTAGTGATCACTCTTTAGGTTTGCTCAGTCAACCAGCTACAAAATCCTCCTAACAGTAACTTCATCCAGCCCACATTTTACAAGCTTCTCCCCAATTATACCACAAGAGGCTTTGTGAAAAGCCTTACAGAAATCAAGATACACTACAAACATACCAACTTCAAACCACAGGTTATGATGCTGGCTTGTTGGAAACTAAGCAGCATAGTTAGTATTGACCACAATTCCAGGTATGGATGACATGGCAATCTGTGTTTAACTGAAAGCAGAAGCAAAAGCATACAAACTCATCCTTGGCTGCATGAAAAAATGAAGGCAGTGTGTGAGACCAAGGTATGCTATAGCTTATGCATGTTGTGCTAAAATGCATGTGGTGCTAAACTATGGTTTAGCATGACATCTAAACAAAGCCAATATGTTATACGTATATTGTTCATTATATGTTGTCCAAGCATGCTACATATTTGCCCGTGTGGAATAATACTATTACTCCATCACATATTCAATGATGAATTTGTCTTAAATTTCATAATCTAGTATGACTTTTTATTGTTAAAACTATTCATGATATAAATGTCTGTTGCCTTTAAAATATAAGCACAGTTGTATTCAATTATTTTAAGACCAGAGTTAAGGCTGTCATAGTAACTCAAGCTCCACAAAGCTGAAAATTGGATGCTAAGGCTGATGCTATAATGGACGTACCCTAACAGGTGTCATTTTATAAATAGAATTTTGAGACATAATGTTGGACTTTTCTTTGTTGGCTACCCACCTTACCTAAAGGGGTACTTGTGTGTCCCTCCAACACATTGTAATAAAGTTCTGGAAACTATGTTAGGTGCTATGGACTTGGACTCCATGCTCCTGCATCACTGTCAACTGAACAAATTAATGCCTTAGAAATTTCATCTGGTATGCTGGCTAAATAACTTAGTTTAGCAGCTTCTTTTTTATCTTTATCTTAATTTTGTGTTATTATTGTCTATAACTACATAAAATACATAACATCTGAATTCTTAACCATATGTTTCATATTAATCCAATAACATTTCTTTTTTATAGATCCATTATGTTCAAGAATAACGAGCAGGAGGATAAACTGTAATCTGTCTGCTTCTAAAATAGCGGAGTTTCAGTGCACAGGTGATTTTGTTGTTGTTCAGTTTTGGAAGAAGCCTAAATTAGGCTTCTAGACACTAACAGATACAGTGGTACCTCGGGTTACAGACACTTCAGGTTACAGACTCTGCTAACCCAGAAATAGTACCTCGGGTTAAGAACTTTGCTTCAGGATGAGAACAGAAATCCCGTGGCAGCGGCGTGGCGGCAGAGGGAGGCCGCATTAGCTAAAGTGGTACCTCAGGTTAAGAACAGTTTTAGGTTAAGAACGGACCTCCAGAACGAATTAAGTGCTTCACCCGAGGTACCACTGTAGTTCTTTTCTTTAAAATACCAGAAATTTTTTTACATTTAAAGACACAATCACTTTGTATTGTGTCTTAAAAATTAGCAATTTTGTTTTGGAAATCTAAGCAAAGAAGGATCCCACTCCACAATTTTGAATATTTGAGCAATAACAAGGCCACTTCCAAGTCTACAATTCTATTATTCAATTTACTGGTTCAATATTAGGTTTACCAATGAATTCCCAAAAGGTACTTGCTAGATTTACTGATGTTAAACCTGGAAAGACCAGAATATATAAATCACAATTTACTAAAAGCAGATATGAAAAATTCAGCCTGAAATCCTTTTTAAAATGCTTTTTCTAAAGAGTCACATGCTATTTTAGTAATATTCTATATCTTTCAGGTTGCATAACAGTAGGGATTCCCTTAAACAGCCGAAATTTTAGCAAGATTTTGCGGTCTTGTCAATATCTATGTGAACAACACAAAGTTACTCTAGAAACTGAACTGAAATATAAAAAGAAGATAAAAAGATCTATTATCTCTAGCAAGAATACTTCTACAGACTGTTATGGTAATAGTAATCATTTTTCATAAAATTTCATGTGGAGCATGCTCAAGCCCAGTGATTTCCACCCCCCCCAACCACTTGAAAATTGCTGAGGGTATTGGCAGACCACTTAATGATTTTTCTGCCTGTTGCAGCAATTGTAATATGCTGTGCAATACGCTGTATGAATTTTAATTACCGGTATATATTTATTGCCTTTTAATTTTTTATATACTGCATTTTATTATATTTCATATAATTTAAATTATAATACAACAAAATACAATAAAATAAAATGTAAGAAATAAAAGAAGCAATTAGAATGCAAATATATGTCAATATTCAATTCAATTCAATTCAATGGATGTGTCATCTGACTTCAATCACAGATCTCCCAAGTTAGCTGAATTTCCTCCCAGAGCCCTCCCTGGTTCATTTTTTGTTGCAACCAGGCTTCTACTAATTATGAAACCTGGGGGGAGGGCCAGTAAAATAACATGTCCAGGGATACCTTTGCAGGGGAGACTCAGCAGCTGGGAAAAGGGTTAAGCCTGCCCACGAAATCTGCCCCACAAAGGCTGCCTATCCCAGCATTAGCATAATGATAAAGCAGGTATGTGGAACCTTTGGCCCTCCAGATGTTGCTGAACTTCCATCAGCCTCAGCAAGCACAGCCAGTGCCATAGATCAGCAACATATGAAAGGCCAAAAGTTCCCCATAGCTGTGATGGAAAACACAGGATTTGGGGAGCCCTGCATTTCTCTCATGAAATCTAGCTCTGCCCTTTGTCTTCCATAACTTTCAGTAATTTTAAATAAGCAAATGTTTTGTTTCAAACAGCAGATCTTCAAACAAAACAGGATGCATATTCAAAGAAACAAATAATCCAACAGAAACACAGGCTTAGAGACCAGGATCTGAATGAAGATCATACTTTCTCATTTAAAGATGGGGTATGGACACCTCAATGGCAAATGTTCTGCATGTTAACATTTGTGTATATGTTCTAGTACATATGACAGTGTTATTTGTAATAAGTGTTAATGCCTAAACTGAGACCCGGCCTCAGCACACTGATAAATATTATTCATAACTGGTGAAAGGCTATCCGTAAACCACAAGCTATTGTTAATAAACAAACAAACAAACAAACAAACAAACAAACAAACAGTTTAACCAAAGCTCTGGTAGCCCCACTTTGGGGAAATACATACCTGTACAATGCTTGTGTTCGTCTTGGGACTGAGCATAGGACCTTCTTTTTTTCCTTGTATGCATGTTACCATTGAGCTCTGGCACATCTGCCAAATGTGTACTGTTTTCATTAATGATGCAGGAAACCAGTATTCATCTGCCAGATATACCTGCAGCAGCTGTTGAAAAAAGCAAACGGAGAACTAGGAAAAATTTCACATCAGAAGAAATAAGATTTCTTTTGGATGGTGTAAAGAAAATGGGCCATCATTGGAATTTAATTTTATGGACTTATCCGTTTCAGAAGGGAAGGACAAATGTTGACCTTGCTAAGAAATACTGCCACTTACAGGTAATATTTCAGATTAATTTTGTGCTAGTATTTTACACCTTTGGGATAGGATGAGAGGAAAGGAAAGAACCATTGGGCTGGCTTTGAAAATTATTTCTCTTCAGTGGATGGTGGTTATCCATTATTGTTGGAGGCAGGACTACGCAAATAATGACACTTGCCCCTACAATGGGAGTGGCTTTCACTGAGTAAAAACCAGAACTTGAATCCAAGTAGCCATTTACTTCTGTAAGTGTAAACTATGAAAGTAAGGTTATATTAAACCCAAATATCATCGCTGGGACTCAATAGTATTTTGCAATAATATTAATTGATTGTACTTCAATCAATTTTATTGTTTATAAGCAATGAAGAAGAGGAGTTTGGATTTGATATCCTGCTTTATTACTACCCTAAGGAGTCTCAAAGTGGCTAACAATCTCCTTACCCTTCCTCCCCTACAACAAACACTCTGTGAGGTGAGTGAGGCTGAGAGACTTAAAAGAAGTGTGACTAGCCCAAGGTCACACAGCAGCTGCATGTGGAGGAGCAGGGAATCAAACCCAGTTCACCAGTATGAGTCCACTGCTCTTAACCACTACACCACACTGGCTCTCATTACAATGAGGCCATTACCATAAAAGCATTTAGATAGTACATTTCATTTCAAGAAGAAATACCAAGGCTGTTCTCAAGAAAATAAATGTTTCATTTATTTGTCCTGGGGTTGGGCGTATTAGCTCCACTTGGCCTGGCTGGATTGGCCAGGAATCAAATAGCCTATGGTGGGAAAGCCCACCAATCTCCTGTGGCTGGCCTGGGAATTCCCCCACAGCCAGCTGCATAGCCCTGATGTTGCTCCCAAGGGGGAGGGGCCTGGCGCAACAGGCTGCAACAGCCCCCCACCCCTGTGACCAGGTAAGCAGCCATTTTCAAGCGAATAAAAGCCAACAAAATAAGAAGAACACAGTCATAACCTCGGGTTGAAGTTGCTTAAGGTTGAGCGTTTTCGGGTTGCGCTCCACGGCGACCCGGAAGTAACGGAATGTGTTACTTCCAGGTTTCACCACTCGCGCATGCGCAGATGGTCAAAATGCTGTCACACGCATGCGCAGAAGTGGCAAATCGCGACCCGCGCACGTGCAGACGCGGGTTGTGTTCTGCTCTGGATGCAAACAGGACTCTGGAATGGATCCTGTTCATATCCAGAGGTACCACTGTACTATAAAGCCAATTATAAAAATACAGCGACCTGTAATCCAAATAATTAGCACAACAACTACATTAAAACATCCATAATTAAAATATATACCTAAGCAAGCCCATCAGAACAGCACAATAGCTAAAACAGTTAAAGCAGCGATCAAATCAGGATAGCAGGAAAATGTTTGTCCAAACAGGTATGTCTTCAAGAGTTGGTGAAATGCCAATACCAATGGAACCTTCTGTATTTCAGCAGGGAGAATGTTACTGACTGGGAGTCAGAGACACCTGATCTGTACTGTAGCAATGAGACAATTGTTGAGAGGGCCTGGATTAGCTCCACCCATTTAATGGAATTATGCCCAGTGTTCCTTTCTCCTTTGGTGATGGAAGTTATTCAAGATGTAAAGCAGCACTGTGGCATCCTGTGAAATTTTCTACACAAAACTACTATTGCCACCTGACAAGTGGATGCTCCAAGCCTGGGATGCCTCCTTCCCAGAACTAGCCTGGGAGCTCTTCCCACTCCTCTGCACCCAGTTTACATTTTCTTCTCCATACAAGAAAGTCCGCTGTGCTGTCAGTTGAAGATGTCCCTTGCCAAAACTAGCCCAGCAGCTCTGCTTTTCTGTGCAACTGGTTCTGGCTTTCTCCTCAGTTGGTCATGCAGCTAACATATGGCAGAAACCGCCCTTATCAGGGTCACATAAATTGTCAGGTAAGCAAATGTTGACTCTGACTGCTAACACAACATAAAGTACTGACAGAGCTGGAGCTCTAAAAAAGCCATATTCTTCTCTCACACACCTTCATCTCACCTGATATGTCCAGCCTGTATAGCCATATGAATCACAACTTGATAACAAATATTTGTCTGTGCCAATGCTCTGACATTTGCCTTGTCTAGTTTCCTTTTTTCTCTTCTCTCTCACAGAAAAATAAAAATGAGAAAAACATATGACATCTTATAAGTTACGTGTATTCTGTCAAGGAAACAGGATCATCATACAAGTTGGTTCTTTTTCGTTTGTTTAAAATGTAATAAGTATTTTTATTTTAAAGAGAGTACTCCATTTTGTACTTGATTATTTTGTGTGCTATAAGTCCTCTTAATCAGTAAGTTTATTTTGAATATAATTTATCAATATGTATAATCAAGAAAGTTGGTAACTATTCTATCTTACAGTATTTTTACTTGCTTTGATATAAATGTTCTTTAAAAATAAATATGAAAATGCTACACAAATGAAAAACAAGTTTATTGCTAAACTTATCATTATACTTTAAATATGCATTTTGTGTTTATTAGGGCATTTCACTTTCTCAGTGGAAAAAAGCATTTAAGGTATAACTGGTTTCCCCCTTTTTCTCCTTCCCTGCCATTGCCACTATTACCCTTTCCATCCTGCCATTTCATAGTGAAACCTGAGTTCCAACAGAATCACCATCTATCAGCTAGAAAATCCTCCAGAGCATTCAGGGATTCAGTCTTCATGTGTGGACTATTTGAATATCAGGGAAGGGTTCTTAACACCATCCCCAAATGCCCTGTCACAAAGACTAGGCATAGGACATGTCCTGCCACTTACATTGGGACAGTGATGTATGGGGACAATCCCATGGTTGTGGCCATGAAGTCCCAAACAGCTCTACATAAGGTGGTCCCCATTTGAATGTTTAAATACCCCAAAACAACAGTGCTGGGGTTCTGTACCACCCCAGAAACCAACTTTGCTAGCTTGGGCAGGGATAATTTTGGGCAGCGGGGTGCATAATATAACAGTAGAATCCCAGTTTTGTGTTTCTGATCCAGTATATTTAGATCTGTTCTCCAAACACATGGGCCCTCCTGGTGAAGGAGATGGAATCTCTGTGGATCATGGCAACTCCCACCCTATCAGTCTATGCTGGTTCTGAACCAAATACTCAGGTGAACAGAACTGGGTAAGAGCAATCACACCCCCAACTTGTCCACCCAGGTTTCTGTAATACATACTAGGTTAGTTCCCTCATCCAAGATTAAATTGTGTGTGGTTGCAGACTTGATCAGGCTGAATGGTTTATTTATTCAAAAGCATTAATTTTACTGCTTGATATTTAAAAAATCTTTAAACAGATGGTTGATGGAGCAACATAGATCCTATAGGCTGGGAGAAGAATCAGAAGATAGATCTGTCACCTATCTATCCCATCTTTTCCTTATCTGCTATGTCCAACCTCCAGTGCCCTGTCCCCCTGAGACTGCTACAGTATAACCATAGGCAACCCCCTTTTCCTATCTCTCCTCTGATTTTACTCATATATTCTACAACCAATATCTCCCCATTCTCTCAAATTCTGAGAAATATTTTGCTACGAAATGAACAAGAAAAAGAAGTTCATTTCAAGGCTGGATCTAGACACATCAAATAAGCGTTTCAGTTAAACATGCTGCAAACTATGTATGAGAAATCGGGTTAGCAAAAACAGAACTCCACAATGCCATCTGATGTCACAGGGTCAGTAAGGCCAGTTTCATGTGGCATTCATCTAGAGGCCAGCCTCTAACCCTGGTGAGCAATCCTTAATTCTCATTTAGTGGTCACCTCTTTACCTACAGTTAGCCTTGCAGGGTGACATGTAGGGAGTTACGCAAAAACCTCTGGGTTGCCCTGCTGGTGGTACCCTGCCACCTGTGGTGGGCTTTGGCTTTATGATCCAAGATCTGGAACTCTGCCAGGCCAGAAGCTGCCATTTATGGGTCTGAGTCCCCATATGCCCTGCTGCATACAGGGATAGTTCTGATAAACAAGCCTACCTACGGGGACAGTTGTGATGTTTGCTGGTACTGCGCCCAGTCAAAAGGTGAAGTCGTCACCTGAGTTCTAAATCCTTCCATCAAATGGGCGAATTTGCAAATCAGGTGCATTAAAATTTTTGACAGCTGCCTTAAGAACTTTGCCTGTATAGTTTACAAACTTAACTCAGGCTTGAATTCGCACCTTACTATCTGTTATGACATGATGCGACTGTTCCATACTGCCAACAGTATTTGCTGTTCCATACACTGCATGTTCACCTAAGAAGTGCCCTGCAGCTTGCTCTCATCGTGCCAACCAGATGCCTAAGGAAAGCCTGCAAACATCACCACGAGCGCAGAAGCACCCTCCCACCCTTGTTCCCCAGAAACTGGTGTTTTCAGCACATTTGGGGCAACCCCTCATCTGTGACAGCATCCCTCCCTAGACTCCACTTATGAGTGTAGATGCGATACGCAATTTGTGAACATGCAAGCTTTCTAATCAATTTTGCCTCGACAATTGCGCCGCGTTCTTTTACGAAGCCTGGGCGTAGCCGGCAGAGTCTGCGCCGCTCTCCGTCTCCGCTAGGGGTCCCTGTTCCGCATAAACACTGGGCGGCGGCCCCAAAAAGCTTGAACTCATCGTCCAGAATATGGTACCGCTCCTTAGGAGTCCAGGACGCTGCCTGACTAGAACGAAGCGCCCGTCCCCTCGTCGGGCAGGAGCGCCGCCTTGAAGCTGCCGCTTGGCCCCACGGAGAAGCCGCTGCTGGAGGTGCCAAGCGTGCCCACGAAAGTCAGGCACGGAGAAAGGGCCCCGTGGCGGCGGCGGCGACCCGGCACCGGGCTGGACGGTCGGGGTCCTCGGCGCTGCGCGTGGGAAAGGCGGGGTCCTCTCGGCGGGGCCTGGGCGGATGAGGTCACTCTTTGTGGTGGCTGCCGTTGGCAAGATGGCGCCGGTGCTGGCGGAGAAGAAGCTGCTGGGGCCGGACGGGCCCGTGGCCGCCGAGTTCGCCAGCGAGGAGGACGAAGGGCAGAGCCTTTGGTGAGGAACCGCGCTAGGCTGGCCTGGGCTCCTGGCAGCTCCTGGCTGCCGGGCTGGCATTGGCCAGGGAGGGGCAGCGGTTGCTCTGTCTGCCTTCCACAGTCCTGACGGGAACTGGGCTTCAGCGGTGGGCTCGGAGCCTCCGTGCTCCCGGGAGCAGCCGTTGCCGGGGCTCCGCCGGGTCTGCCTGGAGGCCCCAGGATCTTGGCTCTTTGACAGCTCAAGCCCGGCTCTGCCTAGTGTTGGGAGGGGCGCCTCGTGCAGTTATGAGCCTTGAGGAAGAAGGGCTGGTTGGGGTAGGAAGGGTCGCTTCTCCCTCCCTGTCTCTTTGCCGCTGTGCAATTACAAGGGTGCATAGATGTGAGCCATGTAGGCACCGAAGCCAAGAAGCTACGTGTCGGTGGGGTGCAGAGCATCCCTTTTCAAGTAGGATTATCTCTTCTCTGTCCCCCACCCCACCCCCGCTTTCCATCGAAGGATTATGCAGCAGGGACCTCCCCGCCCCCCATGGAGGCCCAGGAACAAAAATGCAGCGTTACCCTCTTGTGCCCACTTAAAATGCGATGCCAGCAGCCCTAATCTTGACCTAGCTGGCAGCCATGGTTGTTGAAAAAGCTAATGAGATAAAATGACAGGCTCTGGATTGCTTTGTTGATGATTACTTTCAGTGTGAATGCAGCAGAAACCCATGCATTAGCAGGGCTGACTTCTCAAGTGTTCATGTGATGGTGGTTTAGATGAGCAGTGGATGCACTTTGTATTTTCACCCAGCCTACTCTCTTGGTATATTTAAAAACAACATTCCTACACTCAGACCCATCTATTTAAACGTTGAAAAATATCTAAACCAATGTGTGGTTCTAGCCTGACAGCTTTTGTCCAGGAATATTGTGCCAGGCTGAACTCTGAAGCATCTAGTGCTGGTCTTACTTTTCTTCAATTGTAGATCTATAGAATTGAAAGGGACCTTGGAGGATATCTAGCCCAAACACCTGCTTAATGTAGAATCAACTACAGCACTCTGACAAAGGACTCTTCAAATGCTGCAGAACTGCCCACAGACACCTGCTTGATAGGCTGGGTTATAAAATCTTGGTGCCTTTAGAAGATGGAGTAGATTGAAAATGCAGTGCCAGTCAAATTAAAAATAAAAATCCTTTAAATTATAGAGTTGGAAGAGACCTAGGAGCCCCCCCCCACTTAGTGCAGGATCTTGCAACTACAGCACCCCTGACATTGATTGTCCAGTTTTTTATATATGCCTAGCTTAGGAAAGCCCACTTCCCCATGTGACAGTCGGTTCCACTGTCTATTGCCAATATGAAAATTACTCTAGCATTTAGACGAAATCTTTGCTCCCTGCATTTTCCCTCCATTGAGTCTGGTCCTGTTCTCTTGAGCAATAGAGCTCCATCTGTTATGTGACAACTCTTTAGCTATTTGGAGATTGGTATTATACTTCCCCTTCTCTTCTTCAAACTAAACATACTTTTCAACCATTCTAAACAGAGCTTGGTTTCCAGACCTCTCACCATCCAGGTTGTCATCCTCTTAATGCTAGTTTGTCAATATCCTTCTTAAAAGTGTAGTGCCCAGAACTGGACATAATGCTCTTAACTTGGAGAAATCAATTATGGCATTATGTTTTCTTGTAAGCAGCTTTGACTTTTATTTTAATAGAAAAGAGAGGTGCAAATACTAAACTAAATTATTATGAAATCATTTTTTTTCCTGTGAATATATTTGAGATTCTGTAGCCCCATTGTAAAATAGCTTAATTTATATAAAAAAATACCCTATATTGATCAACTATTTTTTCCACACATTCTCTCTTGTGCAGCACCTTTTGTATCCAGTCTTCATTTCTAGGATTATTTTGTATTGTTTCTGGTTGTATCTTAGCTCTTTTGTATATTTTGTTGTAACCTGCTCTGGAATTTTGTATGAGGTGTGGTCTATAAATAGCTTTATAAATAAATGTGTATGTTTGTTGGACAGCAAGATCAAGTTGCAGAACTGACCCTCAGCAAATACTACAGAAATTCATGCTCTGCTTGGGAGCCCCCTTTATTCTTGTTTATGCTCAGCTGTTGGCATATGCACAATATTTTAACAGTATTATGTAACTTCCCTTGGGAGTTTATAGGAATAGGTAGTAATAGTTACATTGTGATATACAGAGAGGCTGTTTCCAGTATCAGATATGCTCTGTGACCACTGAAGCATTATGGGTTCTGATTTTGCCTCTTGCAGTGGAGAGCATCTGAAAGCAATGCCACTGATTTATCTCTTGGGGGAATTTTACTATTGTGAAGGAGGTAGCATTATAACTTGATGTACTCCTGAGCAAGAGAGAGTATATCAGATCTATACAAACAAATACTAATAGGGCTATTGTGTTTTGTTTTATATGTGCAATCTGAGTGATTTAGTATGACATGGTCTTATTTATTTGGACAGATGCTTACTCTTGTTTTTCAGCTGCTACTGGAACCCTACATGTTTTGTAGAAGTTGGCCAAACCTGGCAGTCTGGCCTAAAAAGTCTCTTCCAACTCCACTCTAGGAGAAGATCTAGAATTTGAGCAAAGCCACTCAGTAGAATTTAAAGTGAGGATAAAGGAAAGGCTAATGTGCACATTGCTAATGAGGTTTAAGTGGCTAGGGATTTGAGCATCTGTTACCCATGAGTGTCTGTGTTTGCATTCTGGTGGAAACAGGTCTGCTGACATATTGCTAGAAATATATCACAATTAGGAATACATTGAAAATTCCCTTCAGAATAGTGGTGCTCGGTAGTACTGTTTCTCTTCCCCCTCTTTTTTTGAAATATTTTTTTTTACTGAGTTTCAATATTTAAGGAAAGCATTAGTTGTAGTAATAAAGAATCTGACGGTAGTAGCATAGCCCCCTCCCTGCATAGTGGAATTAGACAGCATTATCAGTGAGTTCTGCTTTTCTTGAAGATATATGTGTATATCTATTTAAAACAGACAAAACCAGAAATTTCATCCACAGTAACTAAAGTGAAACTGGAAACTAAACAAGTTGTATTTTTTTGCTTTTTTAAAAAATACTTTATTAAGCAAAACTAACAAGATTAGTGGACTTAAAATATACTACTATCATTTGAGCAATCAGCAGTGAATCAGCTGTCTTCAGAGTAGCAGAATTTCATGAGAGGTCAGGTTTCCAAAAACACCTTTGCTACCAAGTGTCATTGCAGTGCTGCATAGACAAAAACAGCACATAACTCATCACACTTAGTGTTCCAGTCATTGTAGTTTTCCATTATAGGCCAAAACTGGTGGATTGAGCTTTCTGATTGTATTGAAATAAATAATACATAATTTTAAGTGAAGACAACTTATATAGAATCATATAACATAACTGATTTAAATAAAGTTTCCTTGTACATTGTACATTTCCTGAACAAGCATGCATACCTAATGGTTGCTTTATTTAAAAAAAAAGGTTGGCAACAGCATAGAGCCTTTATACAATCTGGGAACATAATCCAAAACCCTGGCCATGTCACCCACCTTCCTTTTGCACTACACAACTGTATCTATGTAGGGATGGCTGCAGGAGCTGGATTGTGAAATCAGTGGATTTCTGTTTGGCCCTCTGTACACATGCAGGAGCACTAAGCAAGCTCACTTGGTAAGGGACATACAACCCCTCTAGGCCCTCAGGACTCTCTCCTGGCTGCCCTACCCTCTTCCAGGCCACACCCTTCACTGGCTCTGCAGCATACCTTCTGCAAGTACTTTTGCCTGGCTGGAATGTATTATTGAACTGTGATAATGCTGTTTCCTTGCCTGGATGGAAGATGGAGAAGTGTCTCTGTGTGAACAGAAACCTATGACTTTTGCATGGCTGGAATGTAGCCTGTACGAAGGTAAAAGTTACATCTCTTACTCTGTACACTTTTGCTTCTTGCCCCATCCACTGCTGGAATATGGCACCTGGAAGGTCTCATTCCTCCTGACTTAATTGACTTTGAAGTCAGCAGATGATCCTGGTGAGTGATAGGTTGATGTCTTCTGGGTCTTCTTTCGGCCCGTGGTCTGTGTGCCAGGGCAGGGCCAGAGGTAAAAGTGTGTAAACCAATGGACACAGTTCTTACATTTGTACAAGAGCCTAAATTCCAGCCATGCAAAAGCCAGAGGTTTCTACACTTGCACATCCAACCTGACTGTCTCCCATGTTCTATCCTGGCAAGCAAGAGGTATTTATCACAGTTCAAGGACATGGTTCAGCCAAGCAAAGGCACTTGAGGAGAGCGCTGAACAGGACCGGTGACAGTGTGGCTTGGGGATAGTGGCAGGCCTGGAGAGAGTTCCAAGGGCAAGAGAGAGGGGCCTGGGGAGGGCTGCATTTGACCCCTGAGCCTGAGGTTCTCCACCCCTGAAATACATAAACCTTTCCTGCACAGAAATGCCCTTTGACAGTTATTTTGTTTCATTTGATTTGTGTTATGTCTCAGATAAACTAATAAGTGAACTTGTTTTATGCAGGCACTCAATACTGAGTGAAGTTGCCACACGATCCAGGTCTAAATTACCCACAGGCAAAAATATTCTTGTCTTTGGTAAGTATCAGTGAGTAATAGTGGGAGATTCTTATGGGAATTCTGACACTGGATTACTTTTTAAAACAAATTTAACTGATAGAACAAAATGAGCTGTTTAATTTAGTACACAGCCTATTTGGAGGCATGTAATATAATATTAGCCAGGCTAAAGTTGATCTTGTATCTTTTTTGTGCTGACAAAATATCTTAGATCTAATGTATTGACAAAAGAGCTTGTGGTGCATGTTAATAGCCTTAAGAAGATACATTCAAAATATTAAAGATGCAAATGTGACCTTTTTGTAGAGTAAGTGAAAGAGTAAGTTCAGCTTATGAATGTGAATTGTGATGCTGAAACCAAGAGAGTCTCTCTTTCCTGTAATGGGGCTGTTTTGCTACCCTATAACAGAATAAATGAGTTGTTTCTCCAGCACCCACTAAATTCTCAGCTCGGAGGCTTGATCATTTCCTGGAAGAGATGAGCTTTTTGATGTTTGTTTTCTGCCCTCTAAACCTATTGGCAGGTGATGATGGCTCAGGCAAAACAACACTAATGACTAAAATCCAAGGAGCAGAGCATGGGAAGAAAGGAAGAGGCCTGGAATACCTGTACCTAAATATCCATGATGAAGACAGAGATGGTAATGTATTTGCCTTAGTTGCATGTCTTGTGCTTAAAGCTGAAAGCTGGCCTCTTCTAAAGGGCAGCTGATTTTTCTACTGCCTTCTCAAAGCCTCTGACTATGCATGTTCACATGGAATGAAGTCTCAACAGTGTTCAACAGAGCTTAGTCCCATGTGAATATATGTAATAGTAGTAATAGTTATTATTATTAATAATAATAATAATAATTTGTACCCCGCCCTCTGACTGGGTTGCCCCAGCCAATCTAGGTGGTTTACAGCATATATAAAAACATTGTAAAACATTAAACCTTAAAAAGCTTCCCTATACAGGGCTGCCTTCAGATGTTTCCTAAATGTTATATAATCACTCATCTCCTTAACATCTGATGGAAGGGCATTCCAAAGGGTGAGCACCACTACCCAGAATAATAATTGCAGCTGTAATTTAATCCATTTGTTCTTTATATGTTGAGAAATGCTCCCAAAATGATTCACCTCTGTTTTTGCTCCAGCCATGTGATACCCTTCATTAAATCCCTACAATTCTTATCCCCTCCTGGATACTGCACAAGACTTTTGTCCTCACTTGAAAATCCTCCATGGCTATCCACTTCTTATCTCTCTGCTCTTAATATCTTGGCATACTCATATTTGTGACTGTTTCTCAGTCAGCTCCAACACCATCAAGTTTCCTGCTTCCTGAAATGACCTTGATCTTCCTCTCTTTCTGCCTAGACATGTCCTTCCTTTATTTTCAAATCCCTCCTTTAAAAAACCACTTTTTCTGTGAAGCCTTTGGAACAGTCCTGAGCCTCTAGATGTTGCTGGACTCTACTTCCCATCAGCCAGTGCCAGTGGCCAGTGATCAAGGGTGATGGGAGTTGTAATCCAGCAGAATCTCAAGGGCCATAGGCTCCCCATCACTGCTGTAGAGTAACCCTTAGTCCTAATATCCATTGTAGCTAAGCCAAAGTGTGTGACTGCAATACACACATATACTATTATTTGCTTGATCCTGGTTCCAGTTCCTTCCTCTTCCTTTTTTGTCTCACTTGTGTCAAATTTGAGATAGGTGTCCCTGTGGAATTAAGGACTTGTCTTCTCATTCTTTGTAAAATGCCAAGTATATAGGTGGTGATGCTAATAATAACAACTGTGGAAAATTATTTCTTAATGAGAACATCTCTCCTTCCTTTCAGATCAGACCCGTTGTAACGTCTGGATTCTTGATGGGGACTTGTACCATAAAGGGCTCTTGAAATTCGCTGTTTCAGCAGAATCGCTGCAAGAGACCCTTGTCATTTTTGTGGCAGATATGTCTAGACCATGGACTGTTATGGAATCCTTACAGAAATGGGCAAGTGTATTGCGTGAACATATTGATAAGCTGAAAATCCCCCCTGAAGAGATGAGAGATATGGAACAGCAATGTAAGTAATGCGAGACTGAAAGTTTATTTTGTATCCCTACAACTTTCTGGGATGATTGCTTTTAAATTCATATGCAGTTGCCGTATTGTAACCCACCAGTGGTCATGTAGCCTAGCATTGTCTTTATTCTCCCTGCCAGCAGTTCATGTTTGGGAGTCTTCCTTTCAGCTAGGCTTTGCACATGAATTGAAACAATATAGATAGTTCGGTGAGCATTGTGGCTGTGGGCATATGTTCTGGACTTGTTTGATGCACAAGTGATTTGTAAATTCTCATTCCTAGTACAGAGTTTGGAATTGGCACATGAATTGAAACAACATAGATAGTTTGGTGAGGATTGTGGCTGTGGGCATATGTTTTGGACTTATTTAATGCACAAGTGACTTGTAAAATGTCATTCCTATTACAGTGGTACCTTGGGTTAAGAACTTAATTCGTTCCGGAGGTCTGTTCTTAACCTGAAACTGTCCTTAACCTGAGGTACCACTTTAGCTAATGCGGCCTTCCACTGCTGCTGCGTGGCCGCCACACGATTTCTGTTCTCATCCTGAAGCAAAGTTCTTAACCCGAGGTACTATTTCTGGGTTAGCAGAGTCTGTAACCTGAAGCGTCTGTAACCTGAAGCACCTGTAACCTGAGGTACCACTGTACAGAGTTTGGAATTGTGAGAACTCTGAGATTTGTAAACAAATCAAATACAGTTTCTTTTCCATATCCTTGCAGAACAAGGTGTGGAGACTTTGGAATAATATAGATAAACCATATATTTGGGGAGCAAGACACACTGAAAGCTGCTAAAGAAACTGACTTCATTACTTGCAAACATCGTCAAGAGCTTATGTTGCTAAATATTTTTTAGAAATCTCTGGCAAGAAGGTTGGTTAGCATGGAGATTGTTTATTATTTTACTCCATTTTCCAGCCAAAACTGGCTATTAGAGCAGCTTACAATAATAATAAAATCCATTGCAAAATTTAAGAGAGTACATAAGAGCAATAAACTAGTAAGTAATAATGACTATTAAATTCAGAGCAATGTGCACATATGCACACATACATGGGGGGGATTGATAACAAATAATAGAACTTGTCTGGTTCTTAAAGTATCTCCACATCTAGAAGACTTTGATGGTCTATCTGTGCAAGCCCTACTAAAATATATTCAGATTGTACAGCTTCAGCATGCTTGGTCAACAAAGGTAGACCCCTGTGAGGTGGGAGAAGTGCAGTTAAGAGAATATGACTTGAGGTTTTTACATGTGAGCAATCATGGGTCATCAGTTAATGCATGCAGGAGTCTTGTAAGTTTTGAGGACCGTCAGAGTGAGGTATGGAACATTTCTGCACAGTGGTAGTTTGCTGAATTCCAGAAACAGGCATAATTTAAAGATAGTCAACTGTGAAACCAATAAACATCCTGTAGTATTGGCTTTCCTGTCACTGATAGCATCAATTTCAAGGTTATAATACCCCAAGTTGATAAAAAGACTGTAAGGAGAACCACAGTTGCTACTTAGTATTCTTCATTGTGTGAGCCCTCAGGTATGCATAGTTGGCTGCTATATTAAAAACTTGAATCTGTATTTATATATTAATGCAATGAGGTGGAAAGTGTGCTCATGAAAATACCTATGCAGAATTTGTGCACAATAGAAATGTCATTTAAATAGATGATAGTTCAGGATAGGAGACCGTGGTATCTAATTGCACATTCCCTTGTTAAGGGGTACTGTGCCGGAATGTTTTTCCACTGCACAGGGTTGGACTTATTACTGGAACTTGGGAGAACCTCTCTTCACCATGCCGTAATGTTCCTGAAAATATAGTTCATTCATAGTATAGCAAGTTTGATTGAAAGAAATGGTTTCTCACTGTGTGTTCCAAAGTTTTCTGACACTTTGCTTCTATGTAAAGAAATGCAATCTGACAAGAATTTCCCAATGCTTTTGCAGACTTGCACCATTAACGGTGATCTCATTTTAAACTAGTGGGACAATGTAAAAGGTGGCTGTCAAAGCTGTATTGTGCAGTTTTTTAAACCAAGAGGATCCTATCAAATTCAGTGGGTAAAATAATCCCTTTCTTCCTACCAAGAAGTACATTTTGTATCGGGGATTATGTCACTCCATATCTGTCTCATGAGGCAAGTCATGTGCCAATGATGCCTATTGTGACCAAAGTCAATGCCTGCTTCTGAGCTTCAGCAAAATAAATGGCCATTTCTGTGTCTCCCCATTGTCACATTTCATGCAGTTTTTGTGGTGTTCATTCCTTTGCTGAAATGGAAGCTGCCAAGTAAACTGCTGAAAAATGCAGAGGGCAGAGCATTGCTGATTCTGTGCTTTTCCCCCATAGAAGGATCATTGTACCTAAAGCAGCAACTAAGGGCAGCCTAAGGATCCTATTGCTGCAGCCCTTCCTTGACTCGGACACTCACCTTATTTCTAACATGCATCTCTGCTGCCAGTGGACAATTCTTGTCTGAGAGGCCTCCCTCCCTCCCAGTCCACACTACCAGGCCTCCCTGATTTTCCACAGCAGTGGAATGCAAATATTGCTCCAAGAGAAGTAGCTGTGCTTAACTCTTGCCCATGATTTTAACTGTTACCTGCTCTGTTTGCCTCCCCTGTGGGTTAAGGAAGGAGAGCAGCAGCAGCGTCAGTGTCACAAGGCATTCCAGCACATGCCTACCTCACTTCTGCTTGTGGGGCCTGTTGGATGAGTTGCCAAGGCTCATTTACTAATTAGTGATAACATGTTTAATGGAATACCATTTCAAAGTCTATGTTAAGTTTTTTTCTGAAATGGTGCGGTTTCCCTGCATAATTTATGCAGGGGGAGAGTGTTGCTTTATGCTAAAAAGAAAACTTGCAAGTTAAAGGCTGCATTTGCATTTCACAATAAGCCAGGATTCCTGGCTGATCCTGGCTTACTGTGAGTGACCAGCATGCTGGTGCATCCAGCTGGTTCACTTCCCCCACCCTTTGTGCAGGTGGGTAAAACTAACCAGGAACTGCTAGCCTGTTGCAATGTGGGAACCTGGGAGGAATCCTGGTTTGTTTCTCCCATACAAGTCAGGATTTGTATGCTAACTTCAGACCTTTTTAAAAGCACCTTGGCTTCTTTGGGAACCATAGAGCAGGATCCCGAGTTTTTTGCATGTTGTTACCTAGCCCTTCCTGGTCAGTTAGCTGGTCAATTGAAGACTCATCTTCTCCTCTGAGGTAAACATTGTTTGGAATCTCACAATTGATATGTTGCTTCTTCTGTACTGATTTTGTTTATGAGTGTAATTTCTTTTAGACATTTTAATCTTTTAGTAACTCTTCTGTATTTTTGTTTGATTATTTTGCAAACTTCCCTGGTATCCAAAAGGATGAAGGATAGCTTAAAAAACAATAAATAGTTTTACTGAACCTCCACATTTTGCTTAACCTCAAAACATATTCCCCTTTGCATAACTTTAAAGAGTGATTTTCAAGTGGTGCTTGGCAGCAAAGAGAATTCCCTCTTCTCTCCCCTCGTCTCCAGGCTCTGTGTGCCCACCAGATAGGTTCCAAAAGGTTGAGGGACCCTCCAAAGTGGAAGGGGCAGGAATGAGAAATTACCCTCACCCAGTGCTGTATATCACCCAAAGTATTTTATAATTACATGTAAAACTATTCTTTTTTTATCATAGTTGTGAAGGCTTTTCAGGAATATGTAGAACCTGAAGATGGGTATCAGGGGTCACCGCAGAGAAGAGGCCCATCAGGACAAGATGATGAAAATGTAATTCTACCACTTGGAGATAATGTTCTGACTCACAACCTCGGCATCCCTGTGATAGTAGTTTGTACAAAGGTAAGTTTGAGCTCTCGTTTACTGGCAATTCTTGGAAAGTATTTTGGTTATTGCTAATGATATGTTTTATTGCCCTCTTGCGTTTCTTGTGATCCTGATATACATTGCAAGTGTTTGTCACTGCCCATTTAAAAGAGTGTAATTGTCAGTATTTGTGTGTTTATGTAAAAACATTTGGATTTTTAGTATGCCTGGGAAGAGCATTGAGTGCAGTCCATTTCTTTCTTCAGGATTCTCTGTTCTATTAGTTATTATCCATATTTTCAAATCTGTAAAATGTCTTTCAGTTAAATTCAGAGAATGGAAGATCTTATACACACACCACAGAAAAGCCCCAAACTTTAAAGTGTGATCAATAGTTGTAAACTTTTATCTTCTGAAGCATGAATATGCAAATTAAAACACCTTTCTGCATTTGTTTCAAAGCTGAGGAGTAAGGTGTCTTAAAGTATGTGATGTCTATCAAGTTTAAATGTGTGCTTTTGTGATATTTTAATAAAAGACATTTTGTCTGTCCAAACTCGATAGTATGCAATATCTGGCTTTTGAAGTATTTTGCTTAATGACCCCAACCCAAGCTTGCTTTGAACACTAATTTATGCAAAAGTGTGTATTTTCTGCACACATTTTCCACTTCAGGCTTTTAGAATTCTTAATACTTTTCTTTGTGTTTCTTTTTCAGTGTGATGCAATGAGTGTATTAGAAAAGGAACTTGACTACAGAGAAGAACATTTTGACTTCATTCAGTCGCACATTCGTAGATTCTGCTTACAATGTATCTTTTTCTTACTTGAGCATAAGTAGTGGAATAAAAAACAGTGCCATATTGAGCGTTGTTACTTTACATAAAGCTCAGTATGCCATCATCTCAACCCAAATTTATGGTCTGAGTCTGCTATTTCTTTCCCATTATTGAAAGAAAAAACCATTTGTTTCCTGTATATTTCATTTTTTGTATTGCATACGTAAAGACGAACACTTTATCTCCACACTTTATTTTTCAGTAGTAGCGTGGCAGCCTTTAAGGACTGATAAATTTGCTCAATCTTAGATTATTTTTTTATGTACAACTAACAGTGCAATCCTCTGCATGTTGATACAGAATTAAATCCCACTATGTCCATGCTTGCTCCATTTTTACATATTTACATTGAACATGGTGGGTCATGGTTTTGAGTAGACATGCATAGAATTGTGCTGCAAGTACAATTAGTTAATTATAAATAGGAATTAATACACGTATTATATGATATATACATATATTAGTAAATACTGTGGATCACTTAGGAATGGCACTTTCTGTTTAAACCTAGCAGATTGCATTTAGTCATGTTGCCACCTTAATTTTTTTACTTTCAAGCTCTCTTTTATATTTCATTAGACACTGAAATGTACAGCCCATTTCAAGTTAAGGAATTGCACATAGGACCCATCCCATTACAGTATTTCAAGTATTTCATTTCTGGAAACTTTGCTCTGTTTAAAAAACATAAAATGCAAATTTAGCAGATTAATTTCAATTGATCTTAATAACATTTTAGAAGTTTTCCTTAATGCAAATTAATAGATGGTGCAGCCTTGATCTATTCATCAGTTAAAGAGGAAAAGAATCTTGATTTGTTATATAAGTACATTGTACATAAAACATATGGCTTTCATTTTATCACACCTGCCTTAGTGGTAGAAAAGGATGCAGTTTTCATGTAAGTTGAAGAGCAATTTCTTGTACATTTACACTAAGACTTGAAAATCCCCTTTAATTTGAGAATAAGAGTTTGGTCGGGGGGTGGGCTGATGGATGAAAAGGAGACACTGTTGTAGATTAAATATAAATAAGATAGCACAATATATATACAACTCTTAAACATGCTAGCCAGAAGTCAGTCTACGTTGATTTAATGGAAGTTCCTTTCCAATAAGAACACTCAAGATTGCATATTTACTGCCTGAACTTTAGAACTGCTTTTCTGAAGCACCAGGTTATATTATCTGATGTGGAGTTGCTGTTGTTTCTGCAAGGAGACAAGTATCTCCCCTTCCCATTGAAGTGGAATAAGCTGCTCTGGTGCTTCTCCATCCCTGAATGTCTTTTGCCACAGGTGTGTCATGCAAGGATAGTAGTGCTGCTCAGGAAAAATTAAGCTAATATGACTCCACATAACATTCTCTTTGGGATATTTGGCAAATATAAAGGCCAATGCCAACACAAACCATACGTTCATTTGTGTGTTATATTTCTGTCTCCTTCCTCCCCAAGGAGTTGAGGGCTCATCTGATTACAAATGATCATAAGGAAAGGGGTGATGGTTTTGTGGCAGGTTGCACCAAATTCATCCTTGCCTTCTAGGCATAGGTGCAGTTCTTCAGTTGTAAGGTCACTTCACACAGCACAGTTTTAAAAGTATAAATGTGATCAATGCAGGTACACTTAGAGCCAGGATTGGCTCCATCTTCCTGCTGAGTGTGTGTTTGCCAGTGCACCCAGATGTGCTGTAGTGCTTGCAGTTGACTGTAAGGTGATCCAGGGAATTGGTCTTTTGGTTTCCTGCATTTCACAGTAATGTGAATTAGCATTACACTTCTTACTTCATTGAGGACAGTTTTGCTTTGTGGGAGAATGAAGAATGTCCCGTTTAATGTACAACAGTGTAATAACACTTTTCTGTATTTTTCTCAAACGCGAAAAGGCAAGCTAAACAAATATTTTCAAAATGTACCTGTGCCAGTCACCATTATGCTGTACTTCTGAAAAAAAGGATGTGCTGATGTGCTGACATGAATCCTTTCTCTTGCTAGACCTGCTGGCTGGGACAATGAAAAGAAAATTTCAATTCTACATGAAAACTTCACAACAGTGAAACCAGAAGATCCATATGAAGACTTCATTGTAAAACCTCCTGTAAGAAAGGTAAGCACCATTGAATTATACATTATCAAGTGTGCAGGGCTGTAAGTAACCACTACAGTGAATTCAGTATCGTGAGCCATGGTAAGAATGCTAAGCCAATAATTTGACTTTATAAACCGCCACCCTCATTTATTTGCCTAGCCTACAGTATTCCTTTTACATTTGTAACCCTTTGGGGACTGCAGTGAGGCAGGTGTACTGAAGTCTGATTGGATTAATGCAGAAGGTTTCAAAAGCAAACAAAACACAGCTCTCAATCCCTGACAAAATGTAGTACATTGCATTTCTATATGGGAAGAGACAAAAGAATGGTGGCTTGGATCCAATGAACTATGAGTAGAAGAAAATTGATTAATGTAGTTTTAAATATCCTGGTGCAAGCTTTAGCTGTAGACTGCTTGCTGTGTATTTGGTGTATGTATGCAGTGTTTTGGGGTTGTGTTACAATATGTGAAATTGAATCAGGATGATAGGGGATTTAGCATGTGACCTATAGTCTGGACCCCCCCCCCCAAATACATAGGCTCAACCTCTTCCAGTAGATCAGCTCGGTCTAAAACATAATTTCCCATGGAGTTGCTGGCAGAACAGCTGGTCCTGGATTTTTATTAATCTTGATGTTTAAATAGACATATTTTAAAATACGTTGGTCATAGCTTCATTTAAATTAATATGACTTCCAAGTCCACAGTTTGCAGGGGGTATGCTCTGAGGATGAGTTAGTTGAATACCACCTTTTAAACCTTTTAAATTTTGTAAACTGCCTAGGGAATGTTATCGATATACATTTAAAAAATAATGATGCACAAGAGGAGGCCAGGTCACAGACTATATATATATTTGTGACTTTGCATATAAAAGTTTTTGTTCTGAAAAATTCTTGACATCTACACAACATATCTGTTAAATTCCTATTGAGTCTATGAATAAGGTGTCTTGTATTTTGGGGGGAACTTGGGGTGGAGGACACTTCTAAACTGAATCTGTCTTCAAGCCCTCCAAGTTGGAAATCCTCTCTTTAACCAGCAAACAGCCTGCTACTGCTGCTATGTGTTTAAGGACCTAATGGATTTGGGGTTCTAATCCAACAAGAATTGAATACTAATTGGGGTACTAATTGAGCAGAGCTGCTTGCCCCCCCCCTTCTGAAACCAGCCAAGCAAGAAAGGAGTCAGAAAGAAGTGCAAGGAGTTGTTGTGGCCAGAAGCTTCCACATGCTCCCTGCCTTCCTGTAGCTTCCATGGCTAGTATAGTACAGCCTTCCCAACATGGTGCTTTCTAGATCTTTCAGACTAAAGCTCCCACCAACTGACCATTGACCATGTCGGCTGGGGCTGATGGGAACTGGAGTCACAAAACATTGAGGGGGCTCTAAGTGTGGGAACGTTGGCATAGCAGCTGTGGTACTATATCTTTGCTGCTAGGAAGATATTCTCTCAGGCTGTGCCTGCTGCAGGATTCCCTCACTGGAGTTGCATGCATGTAAACACACACACACACACACACACACACACACACGTCTACTACATAACTTGTGTCAGACAGCAGAGAGTAGGAATTATCCCAGATTATTGGGACACTGAAGGAATAATTTACTGTATAGACAACTTTTCATGGTAATGCCCCCCTTACAATTTGTGCAACCATTTTTGGTTTATAATGAAGTTTTCTGTGTTTTATTCCTCTTATCATCAGTTAGTTCATGATAAAGAACTTGCAGCAGAAGATGAACAAGTGTTTCTTATGAAGCAGCAGGTAAGAAAATCACATATAGCCAAAATTACTTTTCCTTTGCTGGCAAGTGGGGAGGAAATCCCTTGGGGAGGCCTCTCCTATGTCTCCACTGCCTCTCCTCACTCCTCTATGCAAGTGACTGGTAGAAGCCAGCAGAAGAGAGGAGGAGGGAGACAGAGGAAGATGCTGGCAGAAGAAAAAGGCTGAAATGGACTGCAACTGGGCTGAATTTGCATGTTAAATGTACAGTGGTGCCCCGCAAGACGAAATTAATTCGTTCCGCAAGTTTTGTCGTCTAGCGAATTTTTCGTCTTGCGAATTATTATTTAGACAAAGGAAACAAAGTCGCGAGACGTTTTCGTCTTGCGAAGCAAGCCCATAGGGAAATTCGTCTTGCGAGGCAACTCGAAAACGGAAAAACCTTTCGTCTAGCGAGTTTTTTGTCTTGCGAGGCATTCGTCTTGTGAGGTACCACTGTATATAAGATGCGACTCAACTTTATCACATAAAGCATTGAACAACAGCATGAAGAATTCCATAGCATCTTGAGAAGCATATATCAACAGTTTCATTTTTGCATAAACATGACTCTTGGATCTTAACCCCCACTTATGTGATGCAACTGTACTGCAGAATCCTACCTCTTTTCCTGTTTAATTCTGGTGCCCTCTAGTGATATCATTTGCGAATAACTTTGTAAAAGTGCCAGAGTCACATTGAGTAAGGTTAAGCTCAAATTCACAAGATAACATCATTGCCACACGTTTTTAAATTTTGGGACATTTCCCCCTAGTATATTTAAGAGCTCTTTGTTCTTTTTCAGTCTCACCTTGCCAAGCAGCCAGCCACACCTACAAGAGCTTCTGTAAGTATATGTTTGTAGGAAAGTAATTTGCAGTTTAAAATGTAAGCCTGAGCCCCATAGCCTGAATGATTGAAATTATCAAAACTTACTACAATGCTTGCTTAGTATCTTTTTTGGAATATTGCATGCAGTTTATGCATAACATTTTAAAAAGTATCCCAAGCAACTGAAGGTGTTTTGCTATTCTGTTACACTATATGAATAGGTCATTTTGCCAGCTGAATGTATTTACAAATCTGTGCCTGAGATATACCCAAAAATTGATACTTGAAATTGACAAACTTTTTACAGTGATAAATGGGGTATCATTGAAAACATGCAACTTATACAGCAAACTCCAGAGTTCTCAAAATGATATATGGGCAGTTGACTAGGGAAGCACAAGCTACTAAATAAAGTGGGAAGAGAACGACGTCTGCTGTGTATGTGTAAAGAGGTTGAACATTTAAAAAGAGAAAGGCAAGAAAGAAATAAAACACACTGCAGGGGAAACCCATTCTGAGAACTTAGTGTGCTGCATTGGGATGTAACAGTAAGCTCTGGAGTACAGTTCATTTTAAGAATGCTTTGTTTAACTGTGCATGAGCTGTGTGTTGGTGTGTGCAGTTAAAGCTCTCCCACTTCACCCTTAGTTGAGTGGGGAAGCAAACTATGAAACAACAGGCTTAGTGTTATGTGTGAGGCAGTGCTTGTGGTTTATTTCTCTCCAAACTAGCCATGATCAGGAAGCAGAGGAAGGGAGGAGCAGAGTGGGAGTGCTCAAACTGCATGCACAGGTAAACTAGTCATATTTCAAACAAACCACACTCCGTGGATTAACATTATGTCTGAAAGCAGCCAGTATCACTCAAAAATAGTGGAAGCTCTAAAATTTAACTGATAGCAGTTTTCCTTATATTTCACTAAACCCAAACATAAAGTAATTTATGCAATTAGATTTGCAATTGAAATTTTACTTTTAAATTGCAGACAGCTGCTACTTTTTTTTTTTTTTTGGACAAAATATAAATTGCTGTTGCTTCCTCAATTCTCTTTAATCTGGAGAAGTTCACTGGTGTAATTTGGGAATCTCTGAGCAAAGAAGTGCTTGAGTACACTTTAGCAGTTGCATTTTTTTCATTTTTTTCCTTTATTGTTAATTGCATTGTTGCAATTTGTGATTGTCCAGGAATCTCCTGCACGAGGGCCTTCCGGATCACCAAGACCCCAGGGCAGGGCAGGCCCTGTCACTGTCCCCAGTGCCTCGCCAATAGCATCTGTTAAGAAGCCAGATCCAACAATTAAAAGTATGCACTGCAACTTAAACAACCTATTTTGTTTGTAATCTTTTCTTGGAACACTGAGCTTGTTAGATGAAAGGCAGATACTAATTTAGTGATAAAATCAAATATTCATGTGGCATACTCAGTAGGCAGCTGTTGGGGCTTTAAAATGTTTTTTAAGTTATCAGGGATGGAGAGAATTATGAACAATACTTGTATCCATAGTCTAATAATATAACTATAATAATCTCCTATAATAATAATAATATAATTATAGCAGAAAAATTCAGATTTCGTTGACTATTGAAGTAATGGGATTTAATATATTCTTGCCACAATTTAGGACCCAACAAGGAAGACAATTTTATTTCTGAATGGAAGTGATGACCAGTTTTGCTAGAAGAGCCAGTAAATTGGGAAGCAGGAATAAAATATAAGACAATATACAGTGGTACCTCGGGTTAAGAACTTAATTCGTTCTGGAGGTCTGTTCTTAACCTCATGATTAATGGGGCCTCCCGCTGCCGCCATGCTGCTGCGGCGCGATTTCTGTTCTTATCCTGAAGCAAAGTTCTTAACCCAAGGTACTATTTCTGGGTTAGCAGAGTCTGTAACCTGAAGCGTATGTAACCTGAAGCATCTGTAACCTGAGGTACCACTGTATTTAAATATGTTTAATTTTTTGTATAGACCTCTTTGAAAAGGGAATGGGTTGATATGCCAGTTAGGAATTACATTCTTTGTAACATTCGTTTCCCTCCCATGCATCATTCTATGCCTTTCGTATATTTTGAACATAAAGGATTGCTAATCTGCCACAGTCCTGTGTGTTTTAAACTTTTCTCCCCTCCTTTTAATTAGATAACGCTGCAAGTGAAGGTGTGCTAGCCAGCTTCTTCAACAGTCTCTTGAGTAAAAAGACTGGCTCTCCTGGGAGTCCTGGTGCCGGAGGAGTGCAGACCACAGCCAAAAAATCAGGTACTGTCTGGAGCCTAATGCAGCACTGGAGGGGCCCTAGCTCAGTGGTAGAGCATCTGCTTTGTATGCAGAAGATCCTATGTTCAATCTGTAGCATCTTCAGGTAGGCCTGGGAATGTCACCTGTCTGACATTGAAGGGCTGCTGTGAGTCAGTGTAGACAATACTCAGTTAGATTGTTCAGTATAAGGAAGCTTCCTATGCTTCTAAAAGCATTAATATTTTTTCATATTAACTTACTCTGCATAGACCATACTGAAATCCATGGATGGTTGGCTAATGTCACAGCCAAATATTTTAATAAATAAATGATCCTGGAGTTGTGTCTCACAGAGAATTAAGCCACTCCCAGTCTATATTATCCACACCTTGGTTTCTGTTTATTGTTGTGATTCTAGAATAGACAACATAGAAAGCATGTTTGCAACTGTTTTATTATTTGAGTGCTTTGGCTGAAATAGTAACCTCAATTTTTCTTTAGGGCAAAAAACGGTTTTGACGAATGTCCAAGAAGAACTGGATAGAATGACTCGCAAACCAGACTCTATGGTAACGACCAACTCCTCTCCGACAGAGAACGAAGCTTGATTAATGCTTGAACCTGCATATGTAAATGACCAAATAACTATGTACATTGATCTGATAAGACCAGGAGTTCTCTGCTATGGCAGATGCTATAAGTTTTTCTTGGGGCAGGGGGAAATGAAATTTAACCTTCATTGGCTTGTCCCAGTATCAAGTGCACATTCAGGAAGATTTGCATATAAAAGTCCTCTGTTTTAAGATAACCATTTTAGAATATAAATAGGGCAATTCTCTTGATTTGGGTGGCAAACAAGGTGCAGCTGCAATTCCTAGGGAAGAGCACAGAGAAGTGAGATGCGGGATTCCTGTTGAAAAGCCACCAGTGGCTGCTGGCACTAAGGATGAACGAAGTCCCCTTTTCCAAGTATACTGGAGTTGGCCATTCAAAACATATTTATACTTGGAGAGAATCTGGTGTAGTAGAGTGATGGTTAGATGAAGAGAGTGTAAGATGCTGCATTTAAAATAAGTGCAAGATCTGGCTCAGAAGTGAAAAGTATGTTGGACAGACTGGAGAAAAGCAGTGTTAATACATCCTGTGTTGAATAGAGATCAGATAATCATGTTTTAAAAACAAAAGCCTTTACAATTGGAAAGTGTCCAAAGCTTATATGCTGAGTATCATGGGAATTTTTCTTGTTATAAATTGCATTTTTGTTTTTTTGTTTTAACAAGAAGCTACATGAAATGTGGTGGGTGCCCTTTTTGTCACAGCTGACACAGGGAGAAGCTTGATTAGACCAAGTGCCTGGCACAATGACTGATGTCTTTTGGAAGGTGCTTGAACCTCTTGTGCACTGTAGTACAAACAGTCTTTGTTTGTTTGACTTTACTTTGAATAACTCAGTAACTTTTTATAGTAATGTATAATTTTGAATCCTGTTTTCTCATAGCTTCTGCCTTGGGTTTTTTTCCCTTTTCTAAATGCCAATCACATGGCCTATTAAGAGCAATGAGTGACATATCACTTTCCCATGATGAAATGTGTTATGAAATACAAATCTTTCTTTTAGTAGCTGAAAACTCAGTCCTGCCTTAAGGTTTGTGAAACCTGTAATAATTTTCTTATAGGCTCCCAAAATTTTTGTTCCACTTTGCAGTAAATTACTCGTGTTTGTAGGTTTACATAGTTAAAACATAGAAACTAATGACATCATTATAGCCCTTTAGTGTAGCCTTTTAAATGTGGAAAGGAATCTTACAATTGTCCCTCATTGCTACTCAAATAATTACCCATGGCCAGCTTGAGCTATGAAAGACTCCCACAGTTAACTGAAATGGCACTTTTGAGTTTCTGTACGATATATTTGAAAAAGAAACACTACCTTGCATTATAGTACTAAACATCTTTGTAATCAACACACAGAAGGGAAAAAACCACCGTATGAATTATGCAGAGTTTACTTTTTATTGATAAGGATTTGTGTGTTATGCTGAATCTTGTTTCTGAATAGAACACCCCTAATATTTATATATACATACATATATATATTGTTAAATATACAGAATGAATTGACCACTAACACAGTACTGGATGTAATTGCAAACCCTGTGTTACATCAAGAGGCCGCCTCTTTGTTTTTGTAAGTCTGTCTAACACTATCTAGAAAGCTAAGAGTATTTACTTGCATTAACTTAAAAGCATGTTTACTTGTGCCAGTTATGTGTTGTTGTTTTCCTTTCCTTTTTTTACATTTTTATAATTTCAGAACCTCAGTTACATCCACAGTTGCCTGTATCTTAAATTGACGAGTTGTGGTTGGGGCAATTTGGTGTGTGGTTCTGCTGGCATATGATTTGCCAGATGTATGTTAAAGAAAACTGTGGCCACTCTAGCAGATGTGACTTGCATCCTGTCCTCGTGGCATGCAGCTTTATTATACTGTTAGGCAGCTGCACATTTTATGCCATGCATAAGTGCATGGCATGTTGGGATGGTTAAGTTCATGCTGAGTTCTAGCATAGGGAACTTTACCACTGTCTCAATCTCCTTGCCACACGTGCAAAAGGCATAGAACCAGCCTTATGATTGGCTGGCCAGTCTGGAGCTGATTTTGGCTGCCTAGAGATAAGGCATAATATATTGGAAACAAGTATGTTGGACAAGCAAGTGTTTTGTGATGGTATGCGGTTCCAATGCAAGCCTTCAGTACACAACTGCCTCTTTCTGTTGATGTTTTTGTCATTTATGCAGATAATTCACTTTGTATATCAATAATGTGTACAAGTGGCTACTGGGGTTTTTTTGTTTTTGTTTCTTCATTTTCATAAAATGAATGTTAGAACTGCTGCAAATGAGCAAAAGCCAGTAACATACCACTTTCCAGTTGTGCAAAAGAGTGCTTGGATCCAAACAGAAGTTGATTTCCCACCTCTACTCGGATAGTGCTTAAGGAAACTCTGCAAGTGAATGCTCCTAGTTTCTCAAAGGAAGAAAGCTGTAAGTAATGTAGTGTTTTTTGGTTGCCAAAGTCTAGCAACTTTGGAAAGCTGCACAGTTGTCTTTTCTGGTGTTCTCAAGCATTGGAACCAAAGGCCAAACTGCAAAAGCCTTTACATTTTAAAAATACAATTAACTTTATTTTTCAGGATACACTTGTATGGTAGACTGTTAAAATTATTACATGGCTATATTTATATACGGTATATTGATTGCATCTACTGTTCATGTTTAAAACTTAAAGTAATAATCTATTCAACTTGAAGAGAGAAGGCAAATATAAAGGATTAAGGATTGGCCCTCCATCAAAATGCTGTTTATGCTGCTTGATTTTTTTTTAAAGTTTGCACTTTTTATTGGCATTTTAAAACTTGTTTAAACTGAACAGAACTTGTTGTATTTTATTTAATTTAACTACATTGAAAGTGACTGAACTTAACCATATCCATGCTGTAAATGAAAGTTCACTCTCCTATATGACTAAGTTTATTGATGTTTTTAACTTCCAATGAGGACTGCAGATGTATCCAACACAACCCTTAGTCCAGTTGTATGGCTTTAACCAGGTGCAGTCATGTGGAATCTTGCTTTCTAGTGCTGGCAAAAATGAGGACATGTTCTTTAATTAATGGCTTCAATAAACACCAACCAAGACTGCTTTACCAGTGTTGAATTGCTTTTTTTTACTAAGCAGGGCAGTTCTGAAATTGTGGTTTGAGGCAAAGGATGTTTTGACCTTTATATACAATAATTTGTTTGTATGGCTGCCTTGCAGTGCACAATAACGGCCATTTTGGAGCGGACTAATGGCTGAGCCATTGTGACAATCTGCCAGTTTGTGCTATGAGTTAATTCACTGCTTCTCACAAAGCTGGGATGGGTGGGGGGGACTAACCACCAGCCTGGGACCTAAGACCCAAACAATTTTGATGGTGGTGACAAAAAAGGGTGGGGATAATGACATACCAGTAGTTTAGGTGGTGAGCGTTAAGCTTTGTAGCTTGAAATGCTGTTAGTAAACAGGACTGTAGCAGCACTCAGCACAAATCACAAGCATTACAATGCAGTTTCCTTTGAAACACTGATGAAGTGAGGAGAGAATCAGCTTGTTCAGTCTAAAAGATGTGCATTTCAAAAGAAGCCTTAGCCCTAACATACATAATGATGGACCATGTGCATTTATACAAGATCACATACAAAGGGTGTCTGTTTACTGTTTAGATACAAAATATAAAGTACTGGGGTTTTCATATAGGTAACTTTTCCTGTATACATTTACATTTTTATTAAGCCCTTTTTGGTGCTTTGGCATCAGCTTGTTGGGGGATTTTTGCTGTGATCCTATTTCTTCTACTTATTGAACTGAGTAGCAGGAACTGAGACATCACAAACCTCACTCCCTTTCCCCAGAGCAGAATATTGTATTTTGAAATTGTTCTTTTTAAAACAAACAAACAGATGGCTGAAATCACATTTAAGTTTAAGGCATGCAGCATTCAAGAAATTTTTTTAAAATGTGTCTGAAGCATGAAAAGACAAGATGAGTAGACTGATTTGGTGATTGATTTGCTGATTAGTATGTCTCACATTGTGAAGCTAGATATACCGTAATGAGAGTGGGGAGAGAAACCACTCAGAAGCTTATTGTGCCTATTGCTTTTTGAACAGAGGGCAAATAAACATGGGCCCATTATGTAGTGCTGGTTAAGTTATTCAGGACATCACACCAGAGCAACAGAATGAACTACCCCAGGGATAGCCAACATGGAGCCCTCCAGATGTTATGGACTCCCATCCTCCCTAACCACTGGGCTTCAGGGGGGTTGTGGTACACTCCAGTTGTTTTGGACTACATTGGCTACCTCTGAATTAGCTTCTCACAAACATCACCCATTTTATTTATCCAGTTGTTTTTTACTTTGTCTTTTGGCCCAAATAAGTTTCCAAAGTGGCATACGATTTCAAAAACAAAATACAATAAATGCAATAAAACATGTATACAGCATGCTAAAATATACTTACTTCGGAGAATACTTAAAAGTCCAAATGAAGGCTTGGCCAAATAAAATATTATTTACAATTCATTGGCAAACTATTAAGGAAGGAGTCAATTGGGATTGCCGGGAAATGAAATGTCACAAATTGGGTGCCTATAAAGGTCATGAATAATGTTCCATTCAACTAAACTTCTGATAGCAAGGGGACATGGAGGAAGAACTCTGATCTGGAGCACAGTGTGTGAGCAGATTCATCTGGGGGAAGGTGGTTCTTCATATAATTTGTTCCAAAACAGATTTCATAAATTTTTGTTTTGCTACACCTGTACCTTTCTTTATCCTATTTCCACTATACTTCATTGGACTATAGACTGATTGCATAGAAGAGCTCTGTGGCCCTCCAGATGTTGGAGGAATTGACCATCAGACCTTCAGGATACAAAGCAGATCACGATGTGCTGGCAAACTGGTCTTGCTCCTAGCCTTTTGCTTGCTGGTGTCCTGAGCTAAACCACCAAGAGTTACAAGAAATGAAGAAACTGGTGTTTTGGAGTTTATCACTTGTGTAGTTTTAAACATCAGGGCAGTAGAAATCACAAATGTCCTCTGCAACTTAATACAAAAAGTCTTCATAAATATGCAATGTGCCCAGGAGAAAAGTGAAAGTTATTTAGATGAGGCAGCCTTTGATCGTTCGTAAATGACAGCAGCACCCATCTCAGCTTTGCATCACTTTGGTGTGACTGTTTTGCTTTCATCTCTGTTGGCATCCAGGCTTTAGAACCTTTTTAAACAAACAAACAAACCTTTTTCCAATATTTATAAACCTATTAACTATGGATTTTTACACCCAGATTTTAAACTAGGCGATATATATTTGGATTCATTCATGATCAGATGTGATAAAAGGGTATATACTCGGAATAAGGGTTTTTAAAATTATTATTAAATGTGCATTTTTTTCAATGATGAGCGTGTCCTGTATGCTCAATTGTTTCCAACTGAGAGAACCAGAGATTATAGTTTGCCAAAAATATCTTGCTTTCAATAATTTTTTTCCAGGAAATAAATAAGCTATTTTGCCAGCAGCTCAAGTAGCCTTTTATTCTTGCCTTATGCTTGATTAAAAAAAATTGCAGTGAAAAAGGAAAAGCTGTCTCAAGTCCATTACACTGAACTTGGTATATCAACTGATGGGATCTTGGATATAAGGAACTTGAAGCAGATTTACATAACTTAAGTAAGAACATAAGAAGACCTTGCTGGATCAGGTCAATGGCCCATCTAGTTCAGCATCCTGTTTTCATAGTGGCCAACTTGTAGGAAGCCTGCAAGCAAGACGAGCACAAGTGCATTCTCCTGTGGTTTTCAGAAGCATAATTCTCTGGCAGTGGAGGCAGAGCATAGCCACCATAGTTAGCAGCCATTGATAGCATTTACCTCCATGAATTTGTCTAATCTCTTTTTAAAAACAGCTTTATGGGGTAACCATGGACCTTTTTATTTGTCCAGACTTTAATGTATAATCTAATGCTGTGACAGTTCTGGGGTTTTTTTGTGAGTTTTCTTGCTTTTACTGCCAATGTTAATTTTACAGGGGTTTTTAAATGTTTCATATCTCTATATCTGTCTTTCTCTCACACATGCCACCTTAAATTCCTGTAATTATAAGGAAGGATAACAAACACATGTTTCAGAAATTTGTTCCAGAATTTCTCTGTCTTAAAATTCATTACTGTAAGTGACCCCCACAGTTTCAGGTATCTAATGCAAGGTTTTATTTTATGTCCATTTAAACCGTAATGATTTAAATTCCTTCTTGTGTTCAAAAAATCCCAACTTACTGTATTTGAATTAATTTTGCAGATTTATTGCTTCTTGGCCTTTTGGTTAAGATGTAGCTTTATAAACTGCTTCACAGCCAGAAGCTACTGCAGCAATGTACCATAAATATAAAATAACATAAAAAGATGCAGCCTTAATAAACCAAAACACTGTTTTGGTGTCACAGTTCTATAAAATGGCTGGGTTACACTTTACACACTCCAGCTGCATTCCTGTATTTAAGATCATATTTAAGAGCATAAAGATCACTTTAAGGCTATTCTGCTATTTGCTGCAAATGTGCAGATCCCAGAATACTTTACAGGTTATACATTCTTGGATAGATAGGAAATACTGAACCTTCAATCCCATGCACCTAACAGTAAATTCTATTTAATGTAGTGGGACTTACTTCTGAGTAAACATGCTTAGAACTGGGGTGTTAATACTTTAAAACTCGTGTTGTATCTCTGATTCATGCAAGGTTCCCTTTTGACATGGAAACTGAAAACCCACCTTGGCAGTAGTTTTCACTACAGATGTGAGATGGAAAATCAACCAAGTAGGCTAGTACTTGTTCCTCCAATAAGATGTGCATTCTAATCTGCAGCTGTGAGGGCTTACTGAGCATAGAAAGGCCTTAAAACACATGAAAGGACATCTTCAAAGGATGCAAAGGAAAGCAGGTTTCCCTTTGGATAAAGACAACAAAAAACCAGGAAGAACTGACTCATATTGTTAAGAGTTAGTGGGTGGGTGCTTTGACTCCCCTAAATTCCTGGGTGCCAGATTCTCCCATAATTTTCAGGTTCTAGTGGGTATTGTAGTTTAATCAATGCTTGCCTTATTAAGAGAGGCCGCAAGACACTGAATTTAGCAGTATCAAAATCTAGGCCAAACTAGTTTTTCTGTGCTGAGGAAATCACTTGGGAGAAGAGCCATCACAAAGAACAAAATGCAAGGTGATGAGCCATTAAAAAGGCAGAGTCTCTCTGGCAGTTATCAATGGGGTCAGCTCTGGGTTAGTTAGCAGGACAAACGCCAGAGTTGGAGGGAGGGTTGTGGTTTAGGGTTGCACCTGGCTTGGAGGTAAGCTGGAGAGAAAGTGGCAGCCCTTAAAATGCAGCAAGCTGAGCAGTGGGCCACGGTTGATTTCTGGTGGCATCCAAAACTGGCATGGGAGAAGCAAGAACCTCTTGGAGTGTGAACGCTGCGTGTCTCTCCAGGTTGTATATAAGCCACGTATCATAAAGACATCTCTGCTGCGCCTTCCTTTCAAAGGAAATATAAACCTTGGGGTTAGTGCCTGGACCACTGGAATCTTGACTTGTTCATAGAGACTGGGGTGGGGGTGTAACTGTATCAGCATTTTCAATGTTAAGTGTTCAAATACCTTTGAGAGTATTTGTGGCTTTTGAAAACTTTGCAGGACGCAGCTGACTGATGCGTCGTTGTTCTGCTCCATCTGGCGCCTAAGAATTCAACAGGTGAACCCCGCCTCCCCCAAATAACTGTTGAATATGTGGGGAAAGAGTGTACTGTATAAAAAAATCTCCCTGTGTATGTGTATTTGTGCATCTATATATTTGTGTGCGTGCGTGTCACTACCTATTTCTCTCCCTATTTACCTCGCGTTCGCGGTTGGCGGGGAGGGAGGAAATGGCGAGGCGGCGGCGGCGACCTTCCTCTGCGCAGCCCTTGCCTTCCCCACAGGATCCGGGCCTGAGTCCAGCTCAGGACCTTCCCTGAGGGGGCAGAACCCTCGGCGGCTGCCGCCTCCTCAGCCGAGCCCCTTCTTGACTCCGCTTCAGGGCGGGCTTTCCCTCTTCCTCTTCCCTCCCTTTCCGCCGACGAGGAGCAGCGGCAAGTCCCGGAGGGAGAGAGGCAGGCAGGCAGGCAGGCAGCGGGAACGGCGGCGGCGTCTCTGGTGGCCGCGGCTGCAGCTTCACCTCGTGAGAGAGGCGGGAAGCGAAGACCCAGGCGACGCCGCCCGCTGTGGGGCTCCCGAGGCGGAAGGCCGGCCTGAGGGGAGGGGAGACGCCCGCGGCGGAGGGGATCGAAGCGGGCAGGGCAGGGCGGTCCGCTTCGCTTCGGCAGCCTCGGCGGCGGCGACCCAACATGCCTCCCGCTTCCTCGGCGTTGTCGCCGCCGCCGCCGTTGCCGTTGTTGTCCTCGCCCTCCCCGCCCGCTGCCTGAAGCCAGGAGGAGACCTTCCCCTTCCTCTTCTCCTCTGCCAGCCGAAGTTCCCAGGCGGCCCCGACCCCACCCCAGGCGCAGGAGGAGGAGGAGGAGGAGGGCGGCGGCGGCGGAGGCAGCAGCAGCAGCAACCGCGACATGAGGCGCGCCGAGGACCTGGAGGGCTTCGACGGGGAAGCGTCGAGCACCTCCATGATCTCGGGCGCCAGCAGCCCCTACCAGCCCACCACCGAGCCCGTCAGTCACGGCCACGGGCTGCGCGGCCTCCGCTGCGACCCCGATTACTTGAGGGGCACCTTCGGAAGGCTCAAGATCGCCCAGGTGGTGGGTACCGAGCGGCGAGGGGGGGTCGTTTGCAGTCTGTGGGGTGGGGGGGGGCTCGCCTTTCCTTATCGCTGTTTATAATTATTATCGTCACGGAGGTTAACGTGTGTGTCCGCGTGTGTACGTACACACGTACACACACACACACACACGAGAGTTTTTGGGTTTAACGTAGCCCTCCTGTGTGGGTCACCCTTCTTTTTTGAGCCATGGCCACATAGCATGGTGATTGCTGTTCCCACCCCCGCCCCCCTCCAGTGGAGAAGGCTTGTTTTTTCAACCCAAAAGATTCTCTCAGAGAGACTCTCGCGGATTCCCATATTTAGAGAATGGGCTTGGAGGCTCCAGATGTGCTGTTACCACTCCAGCCAAATACCACAGGGTTAGCCTCGAGTGGAATAGTAGTAATAGTAGTAGTTACAGAGTGCCAAATCAGGATTGAAGCTCCCTGGGTGACCTTGGGGCCAGTCAGCTTGATCTACCTCCTAAGGTTGTTGTTAAAATCTTTTTTTTTTTTTTTAGGTGGTGGACACACTCTGGGTTTCTTAGCTGAACTTGTTAGCCATATTTGTTGCTGGAGGATGGGGGATAAAAATAGCTGAAATGAATAATGTATTAGGCAGATGCCAACAAAAAAGGAGAGAATCTTGGGGTACCTTAAGGCTGCAATCTTATATCCAGTTTCCCAGGGTTGCACTGCATTGAACTCAGTGGGATTTCTGTTTCAACAGGCAGATTATAGATATAACTTTTTAAAAGATGTAACAGATTCATTGTGGCAGAAGCACACACTTTTTTCAGATGCATGATGTGTTATCCAGTTGGTAGAGGGATGCAAATACACACATACCTGGGGGAGAGGGAGCATAGAAGACCCTGTAAAAGAATGGAGCAAAAGACCATGAAATGCATAAGGTGCAGTTCATGTATTTTATTTTAGCTAAACTGCTTACATTCCTCAACAGCTGGCGTCTCTCTGGCAACTGAGGATAATGCTTCTTGCATCAGATAAAATGCTAGTTCCCAAAAGCTTCTGTCACATAAAATCACTTAGTCTTTAAGGTGCTCCTTAAGGCTTCTTTTGTCAACTGCTACCAGACTTAGATTTAGAGAAGTAAACCTGTCTGGCCCCTTTTGAGAGGAAGGATAAATGCAGCATTCTATATTGCCCCAATCATCCCTCTTTGAAAATGTCTGATTTAAATGTAAGGCAAATTTCACAACTATGTATTGATGTAAGGTAACACTGGCCTTTCCCTTTCTATTCTTTTGACTGTTACTTAAGTTTTTTCTTTTTTGGGAAGGATACATATTTCCCCATCTTTTCTGCAATGGTACCACCATTCCTTCCAGAGTTTATCCTGTTGGGCAAGAATTTGAATTAGGGAGGGAAAGGGAGCAAGCAGTTAGATGATAGGTGATGATTTATGTAATCTTTCAAGGTCACCTTTTGTGACTGGATGAAAAAACAGCAGTTAGATGTTAGAAGGTCACCTGTTCCATCTTCTTACCCTTTCCTGTTTTTCTAGGGTGTGTTGGCTGCATATATTTGCATGGTCTGATTTCTCATCTTGACCCAATGATTCCTGTCATCTTCTTAGTCTTTTAACTGTGACATGCACCCAGTCTACTTCTGGGATAGGGAACTTGTGGCCCTCCACATGTTGTTGTCCTGTCAGTGCAACCCAGCATAGCCAATGCTTATAAATGATGGGAGTTGTAGTTCAACAATATATGGAAGGTCAGAGTTTTCCCATCACTAATCTACTTAGTAGTCTTTTGATCTATAAAGACTTGTGCCACAATATGTCTTATGTATGCTTACTCAGAATTAAGTACCAGTTCAGTAAAACTCTCATGTAAGTTGCACAGAACTGCACCATTAAAATACTTTTATCTTCATGTTTCTGTGGCCCTTTGATTTGGAGGAATTAGAAGTACCAGGAAAATTTCATTTATGGCTACAGCTGTTGGGGGGTATTTAATTTGACTTCCATCTACATACATTTTGCAAACACTTGTAGAATATTTCTTTGCTTAAAATTCTGCCTTTAAATACCATTGCCAGATACTGGTCAGGTGGTTCATATGTAGGTGTTCAAAAGAAGCTTGTAATCTAAAGGGGAAAAGGGTAGTGCCTTCTACATACTAAATATGTTCTTGAGAAACTATTGTTTTAAAAAGCACAAGCTGACATATTGTAGCCTCTTTGTGATAAAAAAGCCTCAATATCCTTGTTCTGATAGATCATAGCATTGATAAGATCAGCTGATTTAGCAAGGGTTGAAATCAAGGTTGCCGACTTGTACTTTCCTGTGATCAGACAATTGTTGATCTATCTGCACGATCACAAGCCATGTGGATCGAGTGCAGTGTGACTTCAAAATGTTTCTGTGGCTGGAATCAGTTATGATGGCCCCCATTGTTTTCTGGCATAAAAGATGATAGTATAAGTTGGGAGTCATAAAAATAGTTGTGGTAGATGATTATTAAACGTGAAAAGTACAGAATGTGATTAATGTTACAGGTTACGTACAGAACTGCCTCCTCATGTATAGACCAATTGCATCTTCATGGGACACCTTGTTAGCTGTGCCATGAACTGCAAATTGCCACCTGTCAGAAACAGGCCTTCTCTGTGGTGGTACCTTTCCTCTGGGATGCTCCCCCCCAAATTATTTGGGAACAATGACAGTAGCATGCTCTGGACATTTCCTGAAAACACACCTAATCCTAATCATTAACACTGAATTCTACTAACTTTTTACAAAGTAATTCTGATATTTTAATTTTTTTTTAAATGGTTTTAGTGTATGTTTTTATGTTGTGAACTGCTTTGATTTTTTAAAATAGTGATATAAAATATTTAAAATAAAATCTTGTGTATTGAGTCTGCTATAGTATTGTTTATTTTTGTGAACATTAGCTTCTGCTTTCCTGGCTTGGTGCCATTTTGTGTTTTGCTAATTGTAACCTTTTAGTGGCACTTCAGATTTATATCCTAACATTGTGTCCATATTCTATCTTCCATGTGTCTCTTGATGTAAATGTAATTGGCAAAAGGATATGTGTGTGAGAGAGGGTATTTAGACTGGCTTAGTGTTGCTTGTCTTTGTGTGCTTTGCTTAGGTGCCACTGTTCTTATCGGTGTGTTTAAACAATGTGCTGCTGGAATACAGGCTATTTTTAAAATTACATTTCAAGCTCAGAAGCACAGATCAAAGGAGCACAAAAAAAATGTTCTGACAGTAAACCATAGTTTTGTGTTGCATGCATAATCATCCAGGAACTTTGGGTTTGTGTACTTTCTCTTCCCATTGCACACCATACCATGGTGATTTTACGAGTTATGGCTCGTAAGCAAACCCCAGCTAATATTGGACTGGAATAGCTTGACCACCGTGATTAATGTATTGGTAACCTCAAGACTTGATTACAGCAATGCACTATTTGTGCAGCTACCCTTGGGCCTGGTCCAGAGGTTTCAGCTGGTACAAAAGCTGCAGTTAGGCTGGTTATAGGGACAGATAATGTATAAACGGCCCTATAAATTTGCATATTTTAATACTCAGAATTCTTATTCCAGTTGTGGGGCTTGAACTGTGTTTAGCTTTAGCAAGAGACATAAAAGCATTCTGGATGGTCACTGGAATGTATCCTGAATAGGAAGGTCACTTAGGACACTGTTCATGTTTGAAGGAACCATATCAGTAGCCACACCCATATAATTTATTTGTATCTGTATTCCTAGAATAGTGTAGGGTCTGATAATGGGAGACTCTAGTTGTGTGAATTTGTCTTTACTGTAAAAAAAAAAAAAGCATTCTGCATAAATTTCATTAGAGTGGTATTTAAATACATGTGTGATCCAGATAATTTTACTCCTTGTTTAGATACGGGATGGCTAAAGGCCCAATTTTCCTTTTCCTTGGTTCCTTGGTTTACTAGTTTTTTGGTGTGTTTTTTAAAGTGCTGCTAAGTTTTCCATTTGTTTAAAATAAATTTAGGATCTGTGTATGTTTGGAGAAACCTCTTAGATGACAGGTTGGTGTGTTTCCATAAGTAGGGAAGCTACCATTGGAAAGACCCAGTCTATTAGTGCCACCCTTCAGACATTTCTATAAGGCTTTATAGGTCAAATCAGCACTTTGAATTGGGCTCAGAAACAAATTTGCAGCCAGTGTAGTTGAGCTAGAATTGGTGTTTATGTGCTCAGACAGCATGGTCCCAGTTAATAAACTGGCTGCCAAATTTGGTATGAGCTGCAGTTTTTGAACTGTTTTCAAAGGCAGTGAAACAAATGTCTTAACATCTTATTTAAACTCAGACCAGCGGCAGAGAGTTCACAAACAAAATGTGAGATTTATACAGATTGGGATTGCTGAAACTATTGTGTCAGCATGCCACAAAAATATATGTTTTTAAATGGGTACTGATGGAGACGTCATTCAGAGTTTACTGTGACCATGGAGTGCAGTTATCTGAGGAGAATTTTGAGTATTTCCATTTTAAATAATAAGTTTATAGCCCTTATATTTAAGGAGCAAAACATGAAAACTTGGCAGTCAGAAGCATTAATCAATGAAAATTTCAGGGCATGTGAAATGGAAGGAGTAGCTGTGTGGCTTCCTTTTATACCATAAAAGACCAGAAAGGTTTCAGTGGCAATTCAGAACTTGGTTAATTCTGTAACGCTTAACTTGCCTTTCTACATAATATGCCTCTTCATACCAAATATTCATTTAAATCAGGGAGCAGAGCAGACATAAACAAATGAGCATACAGATACCCACAGGAAAAATCATGGCCACCTTGCTCCTCCCCTGGTTCTGCTGCTGCTATGTTATTGAGAGCTTCATGGTTGGCTTATCAGCCCTATATCGGGAAGTTTTTAATGTTTGATATTTTACTATGTTTTATATGTGACGTAAGCTGCCCAGAGTGGCTGGGGAAACCGAGCCAGATGGGCAGGGTATAAATAATAATAATAATAATAATAA